GAAAAAAAAAAAAAAATCATAGTATAATATGTCCAATAAAAAAAATGTCACAGAATATTATATTTAGAAATTACTGAAAAACGTCATAGAATAGCATGTTAAAAAATGTCATAAGGGTAGGTGTGTTCTTCTTTGTGTTGTCCCCTGTGTTTCTCCGTAGAGCCTCGCCACAGGTTCTGCCCTTGCCCTCCTTGCTGTGAAGAGAGGTTGACTACATTGGCATCTATTCTGCTCAGGACGTGTTGGTTAAAAGGCCTGGAGAGCATAACAGTTGGGACCAGTGGGCAACTTTGGCAGCTTCAGTGCTGTGTGTTGGTCATAGTTTGACAATACCTGACTTATGGTGTACCGTAATGAGGAATCTCTACTCGCGTCTGGAAGGACAGTGTTGACAGTGTTATGTTGAAATATTTCATTTGAATGAGTAGTTAACCTGTTTATTTAGTTCACTTTCTTTAAATTTGAAAGAAAGTAATGTTTAGTTAATGCTAACTTCATTTGCCTTTCTTCATTGTGTAAATAAACTTTTTTTTTTACCAATACATCTGTTTCTCCCCCTGCCTCATTTCATTGTTACTTTACTATGACATTTTTCCTAAAGTAGAGTATGTGGAGAAAAATGGAAAAAAAAAATGTCGACATTCGAAAAATGTTACAGTATATCATGTCCAAAAACTTCACAGTATAGTATGTAAAAAAAAAAACCCCGTCATAGTATAGCATGTCGAAAAATGTCAAAGTCTGTTATGTCGAAAAGACTGAAATTAATGTCATGTTGAAAATACAGCAATAAAACGTCATAATATAGCATGTCAAAAAAACGGGGGAAAAAAGTCAGTATAGTATGTCGAAAAACGTCATAGTATAGCATGTCCAAAAAAAAGAAAAAAATTCATAGTATAGCATGTCCAAAAAAAAGAAAAAAATTCATAGTATAGCATGTCGAAAAAAACTACAAAAAAAGCAGTCAGAGCAGGGCAATTAGAAAAAAACTTAAAAAAAACATCATGATATAGTATGTCCAAAAACGTCACGGCATAGTATATAAAAAAAACTGGAAAAAATGTCATAGTATAATGAGTCAAGGAAAATGGAAAAAAACGTCATAGTATGGTACGTCGAAAAAACGGAAAAAAAAAAAAAGTCATAGCATAGTATGTCAAAAAAACTGAAAAACAAAACAAAACAAAAACGTCATAGTATAGTATGTCCAAAAAACTGAAAAATACGTCATAGTATAGTATGTCGAAAAAAACTAAAAACATGTCATAGTATAGTATGTTGAAAAATGTCATAGTATAGCATGTCCAAAAAACTACAAAAGCCGTCAGAGCAGGGCAAGTCGAAAAAAACTGAAAAAAAGTCATAATATAGTATGTCGAAAATCTTAATAGTATATTATGTCGAAAAATGTCAGTGTAGTAAGTCGAAAAAGCTGCAAAAAAAAGTCATAGTATAGTAAGTTGAAAAAAATGAGAAAAATGTCATAGTATGTCGAAAAACAAAAAAAAGTCATAGTATAGTACGTCGAAAAAACTTAAAAAAAAAACCCCTGTCATAGTATAGCATGTCGAAAAATGTCATAGTATATTATGTCGTAAAGACTGAAATTAATGTCATGTTGAAAAGACTGAAATAAAACGTCATAGTATAACATGACAAAAATGTCTTAGTGGAGTAAGTCAAAAAAACTGAAGAAAACGTCATAGTATAGCATGTCGGAAAATGTCGGAAAAAAAACATCATAATGTAGTATGTCAAAAAACGTCGGAGTATAGTAAGTTGAAAAATGTCACAGTATAGTATATTAAAAAAACTGAAAAAAAGTGTCGGAAAAAAAAATACGCATAGTATAGTATGCCAAAAAAACCTGAAAAAACGTCATAGTATTATATTTTTCTAAAATGTCAGTATAGTAAGTCAAAAAAGCTGAAAAATATGTCATAGTATAGTAAGTCGAAAAAACGTCATAGTATAGCATGTCGAAAAATGTCATAGTATATTATGTAGAAAAGACTGAAATTAATGTCATGTTCAAAATACTGAAATAAAATGTCATAGTATAGTATGTCGAAAAATGTCAGTGTAGTAAGTCGAAAAAGCTGCAAAAAACGTCATAGTATAGTATGTCGAAAAATGTCAGTATAGTAAGTCGAAAAAGCTGAAAAATATGTCATAGTATAGTAAGTCCAAAAAACGTCATAGTATAGTAAGTCCAAAAAACGTCATAGTATAGTAAGTCGAAAAATGTCACGGTATAGTATATCAAAAAACTGAAAAAAAAAAAAAAAAAGTCATAGTATAGTCAGTCGGAAAAAAAACCAACGTCATAGTATAGTAAGTCGAAAAATGTCACGGTATAGTATATCAAAAAAACTGAAAAAAAAAAAAAAAGTCATAGTATAGTCAGTCGAAAAAACTGAAAAAACGTCATTATAGTATGTCGGAAAAACTGAAAAAACGTCATAGTATAGCATGTTGAAAAATGTCATACTATAGTAAGTTGAAAAAGCTGCAAAAAATGTCATAGTATAGCAAGTCAAAAAAACTGCAAAATAACGTCATAGTATGTCAAACAAACTGAAAAAAACGTCATAGAAAAAAAACAACACAATGTCATAGTATGTCGAAAAATGTCAGTGTAGTAAGTCGAAAAAGCTGCAAAAAATGTCATGGTATAACATGTCAAAAAAATATTAACTTCATAGTATAGTATGTCCACAAAACTGAAAAATGTCATAGTGTAGTATTTTGAAAAACTGTGGAAGTCATAGAATAGAGGCCTTTTTGTACCACAAATCTTAAACAAATCTTAAACTAATTCTACATCACATCTGCAGTTTTTAGTTAATGTGCCTCATTGTGTTGATTAATTTCATATTTTCAGGTCATAAATCACACAGCACGTGGTGGTTTAAACCAGCATGGAGATCAGTATGTGTTACTTATATGCTCTGATTGTGTGTGTGTGTGTGTTTGGACCGTGGTGTGGGCTACCGTGAGACAGTGAGACAAATGTCTGGCCGTCTCCTCTGGTCAGGGTGTTGATGGTGTCCAGCTGGCCGGTCTCAGTCTTTGGCCTCGTGTGCTCCTGAAACCTCTCCTCCTCCTCCTCCCTGAACTCCTCCTCTTCCACCACTGCCGTCCCCTGACTGGACACACAGCAGCTACCATTACTTCCTGTCATATGTGTTAGCTTTACAGTCCTGAGCTGTCCTCAGAGGAGCCTGCAGTATCTAAATCTTCCCTCTGTCACAACAGAAGCTGTTAATGCTGAATATTTTATTAGTTTCCTCCTCCCACAGAGGTCTACAGGTGCAGCCAACAGTTACTTCCATCATCCCTCTGCACATAAAGTGTCAGAAAATGCAATAAACCTCACAGTTTCTCAGAGAAGGCGATGTTTAGATTTTTTTTGTGTGTGTTCAACGAAGAAATCCAAAGATATGGATGACATATGAAAACAAGAAAAAAAAATCACATTTAAAGGCTGGAACCAGTTCATTTTTTAAAGTATTTTTGCTTAACAGCAATTTTATTTCTTTTTATTATTGGTAATTTTTTTATTATATTTATTCATTTATATAAAAAAAATGATGTGTGAGTGTTTATTTCAATTTTAATATAAATATTTTATAATAAGTTATGCTTATTATTAGTGATATGTCATATACGTCAATACCATTATTCCACATGTACATACAGTATATTTAAGTTGATGTATCATTGTCTCAACCATTAACCATCTTTGCACACATACATGTGCGTACATCTGTACATGCATGTGTTTTTCCTTTTCTTCCAAATCTATTTTCTTATGCATGACTGAACATGTTTATGTATCAACATCTCTCAATAAATAACTACAAAAAACAACACCTGAGTTGTCAGACTGGCTGCTGATTAATTTTCTGACGACTGACTGATTGATTGACTCATTGCTTGAGATCTGCAGCACCGCCTATATGTGTCACTGTTATTATGGTAGAATGTAACTGTGCAGTTGGAGTTACCCTCCATCTTGGCCCCTCAGCTCGTCACATGTCCGTTTTAAAGAAGGAGGTGGATACGTGTTCATTCCCTCTGAAATAAACACATTCATGCAGTGAAGGACGAGTATTCAGATAGTTAAGTAAAAATATAACACTACATGTGAAAGTACAGCATTCAAAATGTAATGAAGTCAAAGTACTCAAGTATTTTCAGTAAATGTATTTAAAGTATAAAAAGTAAAAGATCTTATGAAGCAGAAACAGGTTATAAATGTGTGTGTCAGTGTCTTCTTACGTTTAAGGGTGGAGAGGAAGACTCTGAAGAAGCGCTGGGCGTAGTCCTGCTCGTCTGCCTTTAGTTTGTCCAAGTGGATCAGGTGCTGTGCTAAGGGCGGGCTGGCCAGCTCCTCCACCTGTGCCCGGTCGTAGCGCTCACTGACTGTCACCACAAACAGCGCCACCCCCTCACACTTGGCCTTCTGGGAGATGTAGCGCAGCTTGGCTTGGTCCTCGTAAGCCGTGCGGGTGCCCACCACGGTCAGCATCACCTTACTCTTTTGGGGCTGGCCGGCCTTCAGGAGCACGTCCCTCAGGGTGAACTCCAGTGTCTGTCCCAGCGCCGAGGAGCCGCCCTGCTGAGTCATGTTCCGCAGCAGGTGGTTCCTCATCAGGTTCTGGTTCTGGTAGGTGCCTAGTCCAAACTCCACCTTGGGAGTCCGGGTGCCGCTCTGTTGGACTACAGCCACACGGGCCTGGTTGCCGGCCCTGCGGGGCTGTGGGCTCACGACCAGCTGCTCTACCACAGAGCCAAGCAGCTGCTGGGCGCCGGCGTACTCATCAGCCTGTATCTCCCTGGAGCTGTCCAACACCATCACCAGGTCCAGATCAACCTGCTGAGGCCGAATTGGTTCCTGGATGAAAGCGCACAGGTCCGAACGTCTGCAGGGGTCTGAACAAACAAGAACCAGTTCTCATCCAGATAAATGTTTAATACTACTCACAGTCTGATCCTTGTATAATTATGGGATATTTCTACAACCTACAAGCATCAAAAATCTCTCAAACAAATAGAGTCGTTCTGTTATTTTGAAAGATGATGTAATCACATACAAACTAAAGTGAAGAATGAGTTTGAATGAATTTCTGACAGAAACATTACCACATGATTTCTATAAGACTTCCATGAGACTGAGCAGGAGCTTGACAGCGTACCGTAACAGATCGCACAGTTCTTGACCTTCCTCAGGTCAGCGGCCATGTCCCTCCCCAGCACGGTGAAGATGGAACGTCCTGAGTCGTCGACCTGATAAGAAACAGCAGCTGTCGTTAATCACAGCTCTGAGAACAGAAGACTGAAGACAAAATCATTTCATTAATCTCCAAACATATTTCCTCTGCTGAAATAATGACAGCGTGGCTGATAATTGAGTATCAGTTTTCATGTCTGGTAGCGGGCGGAGGATGTAATCTGAACCAAACAGGGAGAGGAGGTGCTGAGGGAGTTGGAGTGAAGTCGTGTTTTAGAGCCAAACAAGGAAACCTCCTTCTTGGCAACTCAGACAGAAACAAACACACTGATTGTTTGTAGTTTTTAATAATAATCTGCTTTGTTGTGGCGAATCACATTTGACACATCTCGATCCAGATGTTCACCTGATGAGCTCAGCAGCCAAATGACATTTAGATGTGACAGAGTCCAAGATGGAAGTGAGTTTGTTAGTTTGACCTCACTGAGTCAAAAGGAGAGAAGGTTTAAAGGTACGACATCTCTGGCACGAGGTTTCGTTCACACTCCTCCCTGAGCTGAGCTGGATTTGAGGCATCTGGTGAGGGAAATGTTGACACATGTAGTAGAGATGTTAAAGATAAGTAGGAGGCGGGTGTGAAGCATACAGCCAGAAAACAGCCCTGAGTCAAAAATAACAAAACAAGGCCTCAGACCCTAGACTCAGGCTACGATCACATTAAAAGCATAGTCACATGAGCGACTGCAGGCTGGTGACCATCACCTGCCAGGGTGATAGTCTCTATCTCTCTCAGCTCTTACGAAGGTAACTGCATTCATCTTGAGGCATCGAGAGCGTCTTCAGACCTGAAGAAGCCTTTTGGGTGAGAGGTGAAACGTCTCCAAGAAACACAGGCAAGACCAGTTGCTTGTGACATGGTGTGATGGAGCGGCCCCATCACTGGCTACGGGCAGCACACACACGCACACACACACACACGCCCACACACACACACACACACACACACAATACCCACTCCCCTCTGCTACCTTTCTGTCTCATGAAATGACTCATGCATCTCTCCATTTTCCCTCTTTCCCTGCTGTTTAGTAGCGCAACCAAGGGTGCACACTTGGGTACACTACATTCCTCTTTCATGCATACATTTCTCAGTTTATGGACACTGACTTACCGGGTGACGGTGTGATGAGTGTTCGCCTCGTGTGTCCTGTTTAGTCTGTCAAACCAGGGCGCACTGCTCTTCCAGTATAAATGTGTGAAGCGTCGTGCGTCTCCATGGTCACATGACCTGTCACGTGATTGACGTGACGGTAATTTTGCTTATTTATTAATTTTCTGCATATACATGGGTTTTTGGTGTTTAAAGGGAATATGTCTAAATATGTATATAATTTCTGTGTATGACATTTGGGTATCCAGAATGATTAACCCCTCATTTGAAGGAGGGTTGAATTTATTGGATTTTTCCCATGTATTATTATGCCTGAGGGGTGTGGCTTCAGGTTTAAAGGAAGCAGTTCAGCTCAGGTAAGGGGAGTCTTGATCTGGTTGCAGAGAAGGCAACATCACTTGGACTTATTTGTGTTTTGGACTGTGAGGTTTTTCCCCTTTGCTGGGTTTTCCTGACTATTGAGGTTTGTTGAAGAACAGTTGGTTTTTTTTGTGTATTCAAACTTTTTTTTGCATTTTTTTCCTGGTTGTTTTTGTAAATAATTCACAATTTGCACCTTGGGAGGCAGGCAAAATAAAAAGCCAAAAACTGGATTTTCCCGACTCTGTCTGTATTTTTGGACTTTTTGAGAGCTGCCAATAGAACCCCGCTACACATGGCACCTAAGATGGTCAAAACTGTTCAATCAAAAAGCAGTGAAGAAAATGTGGTGTTACCTGCGGGACACAAACATCCACAACAGGAGAGAGGAAGGTGACAAGAAAAAGAAGTGGAAATATATGAAAGCAGTTACCTTCTTAAAAGCTTCCACGACAAAGAGAAGGTTATGTCAGCCTATCCAGAAATGTACAACAGCAATGACAATCCCTAATCCCTTTAATAATTGCACTGTATCATTTTGTTGCTCAGGTCGCCCACATTCAACATGAATATCACCCTGGCAGGTGATGGTGACTCGTCTGCATTCGCTCATGTGACCATGCTTTGGTGCGGTCGTAGCCTGAGTTTCTGCCTGACATCCTGACATCCTGTATGGCTGTATGCAGCTTCACACCCGCCTCCTACTTATCTTTAATATCTGTACTACATATGTCAACATTTTCCTCACCAGATGCCTCAAATCCAGCTCAGCTAAGGGAGGAGTGTGAACGAAACCTTGTGCCAAAGATGTCGTACCTTTAAACCTTCTCTCCTTTTGACTCAGTGAGGTCAAACTAACAAACTCACTTCCGTCTTTAACTCGGAGGGAAGTGATTTTAACTTCAAGAAGAATCCTCATGGATGAGAGATGAAACGTCCTCAAGAAACTCAAGTCCAGTTGCTTACGAGATAGCACTTAAGATTACCACGACCAGGATGACTGAGACTCATCACCAACATGTTACTATGCTTCAGACTCAGTGCGTGAACATGATGAACACAACACAAGGTCGTATTTATCTAGAATCATGCCACGACTTTGGATGAAAAATATGGACCTGGTGTGCAAAGGCCTTCAGTGCAGACGTAATCTCAGAGGACACTTTATTTCACACCCAGTGATCAAAGAATATTAGAAGCAAGCCAACACAGATGTTACAGATATTTCTGAAGACAATTCTGACTTCAAACTCAGGCTGGATGTGGTGGATGGTCTCCTACAGGAGGCCCACTGTACTGCAGCCGATTGGATTTAAAGTTGCATCATGTGGGATAGACAGGATTTAATGGAAGCCCTACCTTTCGGGGCTGGTTTACTGAAATTGGCAGAGTAGTGACTTTGTTACTGACTAGTTATTATATATAATATTATATTATTTATTATTTATTAAAAGGTGAGAAGATAAAATATGATCCAGGATGTTCAGTTGGAGTAACAGAAGGTTCATCAGATGAACTAAACAGAGGATTAAAAACAATGAGACAGGATTTTATCACTCTGAAAACTTCAAACTGAAAAAGTACGTACATCTTGTTAGAGAGCAAAAGTGTTTCTAAATGTCTGAAAAGAGACAGAGAGGGAAAACCAAACCTACCTCCATCGCTCGACTGATAGCCGGAGCGTTTTTCAGAGAGATGACTGCTGGGACAATGTTGGAGCCACGGTACTCCATCATGGCTGTGACGATATCATTAGCATCTGCCGCAGGCCCGTTAGAGAGGAAGACGGCCACCTTCCTCATCAGCATTCCTGATCGAGTGCGTTTGAAGAGGTGCTGACCCACGAAGCGCATGGCGGCACCAAGCTGACGACGTTGGGCCGTCCTCTCCAGGGCGATGCTCTTCACAGCTTCGATCAGCTGTTTCTTACGGCGGTAGTCCTGGAAGCGGATCAGGTACTTGGTTTGACTGCTGTAACCCACCACAGCGACGCGAGCACCCGTCGGACAGTTGCTCTCGGTGATGGTGATGTCCTCCAGCAGGGAGAGGAGGGCGGAACGCTGCCTCTCAAAGGTTACCGGGGTCACGTCCTCAGACATGTCCAGACCAAACACGAACTCGGTGGGGTAGGCCGGGCACTCTGACTGATCTGAGAACCAACAAAGAAGAGTTCATGTTGAGGAGTAGAAAAGTAAAACTAAGAATGCCTGAAGAGACGAAGACGGCACACTGAACTCCACTGATCTGATGTTTCAACACAAGAGACGGCCTTGTATATATTTTCTTATACGTATTATATACTGAGCCCTTATCAGTGAAAACCTGCTTGGTAACAAATGATGATTCTGATACATCCTGTATCTGGTAAATCCACAATCAGTGACATCAACAAGTAACAAGGACACACCTGAGCTCATCTCAGTCAGAGAGAAGGAGAGAATACAATATGTCTATCATGATTTGACACCAGGAGAGACACTACAAACAATAAACTGTCCCAGAAATGTTCAGATGTCTAAGTAAACCATCTTGAGTTTTAAAATTCTCAGTATCCACATTCTCTGATGATTCAGCCCTGGTGTGCTACATTTCAAGTGACTCCGGTTATCAAGGAGACGTAGACAGATTTGTCAAATGATGTGAGGAAGCCCGCTTTATTCTTAATGTAGATAATACTAAGGAGCTTATAGTGGATTTTAAAAGGACAATGCTGAGGTTACCCCAGTCCTGATTAAAGGACAAGTGGGTGAGGTGGTCCCATCCTACAAATACCTGGGTGTTCATGTGCACATGAGGCTGGACCAGAAGGACAACACTGGTTTGTTTTCTTTAAGAGGGTCCAGTCCTGATTGGTTTTTCTCAGGAAGATCAGCTCATTTGACGTCAGCAGGCCTCTTTTACATATTCTTTATCAAGGTATTACAGCAAGTGTTCTTTTCTATGCTGTTGTCTGTTGGGGTGGCAGCATTACCAATCAAGATCAGGATCAAGATAAGCATCAAGATTAAGTTGGGAACTACTGTACTAGTGTCTGGATTGTGTTTATGTCTTTGTCTTTAAACTGTGAATGTCTTTTTGTTTACGATGGCAACAAACCAGTTTCCACTTTGGGGATTAATAAAGTGAATCCTATAATACGGTAGATGTCTGTCAGCACACCAGAGTCTGTAGAGGCAGACTGGAGTACCAACACAACAGATATTAGCCATCTAAAAAATTATTAAAAGTTTAAGTGCACACTATACTTTGAATATTTTCCCCACTTTACCTTCCTGTCAGACAGCCCGCTAGCTTTCGTCAAAGTCACCAGACTTCATTGACAAAAACACTCATTTTAGCTCACTATTCACAACACAGCTGCTGGTCCATCGCTGCTCCAGTCAGTTAGACAGTTTCTGTGATTGTGTGACTTTGGTGAATCCAAACTATTCTAATCACCACCGTCACACAATAACACAAACAAACTAACTGTTAGAAGCAGAGGTAGACGAGCAGCTCCTGTTCAGAGATCTTAAATCACTGTTTTTCTCAGTGGAGTCTGGCTGTGGCATTGTTATTTCTAACTGTGTTATTATGACAATGACAAATAAAGAATTGATTGACTGACTGAAAAGCAACAGCTGACTGTAAGGCAAAATGGTGAAAATAATCTAAATCTAGTGAACACTTAAAGGGATAGTGCACCCAAAAATGAAAATTCAGCCATTATCTACTCACCCATATGCCGAGAGAGGCCCTGGTGAAGTTTTAGAGTCCTCACATCCCTTACGGAGGTCGGCGGGGGGAGTGGCCAGCACACCTAATGGCTGACGGCGACCCAGACTAACGTCCAAGAACACAAAATTGAAACCAGAAAATATCTCCAACATGCTCATCCGTAGTGATCCAAGTGTGCTGCAGCCCCGACATGAAAAGTTGTTTCGAAAAACATCATATGAACTCTGTTTTTAGCCTCAATGTAGCCTGTAACTCTGACTGCTTCTCTGTGCTCTGCGCTCACGTGTGCGCGCCTGCGAGAGACCAGCGAAAGCGTGAGCTTTGCTTACCCGTGTTTACATCACGTGACACGTGCACCGCAGGGAGAGACAACGTAATCACAGAGCTAAAAGATAATTTGCACTACGGTCTTTTAGCAAAGGACAGCCCAACATGTCTGAAGACTTTGAAACTGAGGAGGAACAGCATTTCTTTGTTGAGCCATATTTGTTTGAGACCGAGTATACGGACGGAACTCAGGCTACTGGACGAAGCAGCCGCCGCAGCTCATGAGCCTAACCCTCAGCCAGCTGCAGAATACCAGAGTGGAGCACTGGAAACCTGGTGGTGTAGTTGTTTCAAATGCAAAGCAATGCCAACGGATGAGGAAAGTCTTTGCTGCTCAGACTGGGAGTTGGCGATGCCTGCACTTGAGAATCTGGACATCAGTACTGACGAGACTGCTGCTCTTCAGAGACCGTGCATCACCGATCACCATGAGCGCAAACACGTGAGCGAGGAGCACAGAGAAGCAGTCAGAGCTACAGGCTACAGTGAGGCTAAAAACAGAGTTCAAATGAAGTTTTTCCAAACAACTTTTTATGTCGGGGCTGCAGCACACTTGGATCACTACGGATGAGCAGTATGGAGATATTTTGTGGTTTCAATTTTGTGTTCTTGGACGTTAGTCTGGGGCGCCGTCTGCCATTAGGTGTACTAGCTGCTCCCCCACCGATCTCTGCAAGGGATGTGAGGACTCTAAAACATCACCAGAGCCTCTCTCAGCATGGTAGTCATCAGATAATGGCTGAATTTTCATTTTTGGGTGCACTATCCCTTTAAAATGATACTGATTTTCTTTTTAGGTGGCTTCCTTGGTGGTACTCCTTTCTCTTCTCCAAATTGGGGGCGTATCGACTGACATCTACTGTGGGTAAAAAAAATTCATGATTCGAACACTTCTACAAAGAAATGGACACATGAGCCTGTTTTCATTCAGCCATTATACAGAATGTATAGTTAGACGTATCAATACACACATTTACACCTATATAGATAGATTATTATTATTATTATAGACAGATTCAAGTGATTGAAAGACATGAACAGAGCTGTACCACCAGCATGCCTGTAAAAATACATATATACTGTATATAAACTATGAGAGAACATTACGTAGCTTCCATCCTCGGTCAACCTTCAGGAAGCCTCCATGTGAAGAAACTAAAGAGGTTGAGATGATGAAGTTTTGTTTTGTACTCACCAAACTTGTGTTGTGATAATTATAATGGAGATACGTACCGAGGGAACATGCTGTGTGGAGAAAACATCAGAAATATAATTTAGAGTCGCAGTAATTGAAACAATGAATAAGGTGTCTGTCCTGCTGTGAGAACGTGATTGACACTCACCACAGTTGTCTCTGATGTAGGTGATCAGCTGGCACTCCTGACGACAGAACAGAGAAGACGTCATGTAGAAATACTGAGTTCAGGATTCAATATTTTCTTACCGTCGGCAGGTAAAGTCAGTTTTAAGGTGGACTTACAGTCATGCCTCTGGTTCCAGGAGGACCTCTGGGACCCTAAGATGAGAAGGAGAAGCATTATTAGCCCTTTCTCTTCTTTCAGTTTATAAACATATGTATTGATGGTAGAATCCTCCTTGTTAGATTGTTCACTTGCTTTGTAAACAGACCCCCCCCCCCCCCCCCCCCAATGATATCTGTATGTCACAGTTAAGGTGGTATGGATTCCTCAGCATGTTATTGATGATGATGATGATGACAACAGACTCACCCTGTGTCCTGGATATCCATGTTCTCCGGGCCTGCCTGTCTCTCCCGGCCTGCCAGAGTTCCCCTGCATCGATCAAACCAGTAACAAGTAAAAGTCACGATGAAGCAAAAAGATACTGATTTAAAAAAAGAAAGAAAAAGAAATCAAAGTTCACACTCACGCCTCGACCACGGTTTCCTTTACGTCCAGGATATCCTTTAGTTCCCTGCAGGCCGTCCTCACCCTGAACGCAACAACAGAGATACAGTAAAGTCACAATATGCTTCCTGTTTCTCATATTCTCCTTCTGAATTATCTTTGAATATCTAAACGTTGAAACATGATCTCTTTCACTTTAGGCTCTCAGTGTTTTCCCACAAGAATAAATACAAATCTGATCTCTCTCAGAGGCTCCAAAAGCAGTAAAACAAATACCTGTGTGCATCAGAAATATTCATCTAATGTAGCCCCGGTATCTAAAACATGAGTCATTAAAGACTTAAATCATGTGTTCTCATTATTAATGTTCTACTTTGTATCAATATTTAAAATGAGTCATGAGAATAATCTCCCTTTGATCCCTCTGCCTGTGCACCACATATCATTTCACCAGGCAGCTGAGAGAGCTGTAGATGAAAATCGAGGCAATTATTAAAGGGACAGGTCATCCCAAAATCAAAAATACATATTTTTCCTCTTACCCATAGCACTACTTATAAGTATATTTTGGTGTGAGTTGCAGAGAGGAGATATCGGTTGTAGAGATGTCTGTCTTCTCCTCAGTATAATAAAACTACATTAGATGACACTCGGCTTGTGGTGCTCAAAGTGCCAGATTTTTTTGGCCCGTAATAATAAACTTTGTTTAATATGTAAGTGACACTGGATTTTATCTGATCTGCTGTCAGTTATTAACTCACCGGTAGACCGGGGTAACCAGGGAAACCAGGATCTCCCTGTAATGAGAAGGAAATAAGTATCAAAAGTCAGGTTTCTATAAATACAAAAAAAAGTTTTGTGTTCTTTCAAACTGTCAGTTCAGGACTTCTCTGTCTGAGATGAACAGTTTCCTACCTTGGCACCTTTTGTTCCTTGAGGTCCGTAACCATCTCTGCCGTCCTGACCCTGAGAGAGGAGCACATACGTCAGATACACAGTTTATATTATATCATATTAATATACAAACACTGACTGTAGCTACTTACAGGCATTCCTCTGGGTCCCTGTGATCCTGGAGCACCTTTACCACCTGGCTCTCCTGGTTGGCCCTTCAACAACAACATTTAGTGTTTAGTTTCCTGTCACGGAGTATGTTTGCCTCACATTGCTTCCTCTTTAATTCGGTATAATTTAATTTTTTAAAGCCCAATATCGCAAATCACAGTTTGCCTCAGAGGCTTTACAGCAAACGACATCCCTCTGACGTCGGACCCTCACAGCTGATCAGGAAAAACTCTCAAACAGGAAAAAACAACCCCAAATAAAACAAACAAACAAAAACAAATGGTGACATGTTTGCTGAGTCGCAGACAAGGCGATGAGATGAATTAACGCCACACACCTTCTGTCCGTTGGGTCCACGCCGTCCGCCTACTCCCGGGTTTCCAGCTGGTCCTGGTCCACCCTGCAGGAACACCAACAGATTCAGAGCAAGAAGAGCAGCTCAGTGTTCTCTATTAACTGAGTGTCCTTGAATGCATCTCCAAAAATCATGGGTTAAAAATGGCCACAGGTCACCACACAATGAGTGAAGGAGCTGGGTTGGGTCATCGTCATTATTAATGGCTTAAATATTGAGTTTCACTCATGGCTGCATAATGTCTGTCAGGAAAAAAGGCAGAGTGAAAACTCCTGACATGATTGTAATGATGTAAATATTGCTGAATTGATCAAAACAACAGGTAAACATGGAGGAAGAGCTGAGTTTGTATTAACTGGAGAGATTAATCATAAAGGTCTGTCTCAATAAAAGGCTCTGGCCTCTTTTGAAGGATTTGCATCAGGCTTTTACAGAATATATTAAATCTGTTTAACTTTCTGTTATAATCTAGACTAAAGTTAAAGGTGTAGATGAATCCTGAAAATCCATAATTATAAATATCTAAAATATTCTGTGTTTCTCAGAGCTGAAGCATTGTTCATATCAACTGGTTTATTGTCGTGGAAAAAACAGGCCCTGAAAATAGTGGTAAGTTTATGTATCCGCGCCTTCATGACTCACTAAACACAACATTTATATTTACTTAATACTTTCTTAACTCTTAAGAGAAGGCTGAAAGATAAATTTGGGGTTAAATAAATTAAAGTCCCTCCTTAATTATTGGCATATCGTGGCTGTAACGAACTCCGTAGCTTTTTCATAATATTTCGCGTTAATCTGCCTGGCAACACTTTTTATTTCCCCGTTTAATCTTTTGGAAAGAATCAGCTCTGAGAAGTTATTTCTGGCCCTGATTAATTTAACGACCTCCACGCAGGGCTCATAAATAAAGATAATTTGAGGGCGGATCAGATCTATAAAACACATGGATTGAAAAAAGCTGCAATCAGAACCTCGACAACAAATATACTTAATTACAGCTAACAACGTGGATTTATTTTTGTCCACTTCACAAATCTGGTCAGTCAACATTTGAACTTTTTTCAGTGAATAAATAAAACTAGCAGGGAACCTCGCTGTCACTTTTTTGCCTCAGAAACCAGATGAGTCCCAGACGTCAGGCGGTGACATCATCTGTCAGAGTCTGCAGGATTTGTGAGACGCAGCAATTAAGGCGTCAAATGTGACAACCACAAAATTTACTAACACTTCCCGCAGTCGCTGAGTGAATTTGTGGAGCTGAGAATCTCCTGAGAGACAGAAAAGAAGGTTTTGGATTTAACTTTTGCTACAACTCTTTGGGAATTAACATAACAAACAAAAATTAAAAGTTAAAGTTGTATTCTCTCTATATTTATATTTAAAGTGTTAAATAAAAATGTCATGAGGCAAACTTAATTAAATGTTTTGGCATTTATTTCATACAACAAAGTCTATATCTGTGGCCGCTGCTGAGAACATGTCCTCTGTATTTTGTCTGGGAATTTCTGAGCATTAACACTGTCCACATATTTTTGTCCATGCAGCATAAAACAAGACTCAGAGCAGTAACATGAGTGATGAGCCATATTCTGATATCTCTTACAGGAGTAAGAGCTAAGCATCAACATTTAGTTTTCAGAGGTTTTTTGGCTTTTGTTCATTTTGATACTTGAGATTTAAAACAGATCTGACGCTTGGCAGCAACGGTGTGACATCAGCTGGCAAAACTGTGCTTGTAAATATTTACCGGATGTTTCAGGTTTAAGAATTAAACCTGCACAAACAGGAAATACCATTAAAAAAGGAATATGTGTTTATTCTGACTTCAGAAACACAGAACACGTCTTCTTCTAAAGTTTCTTGTAAAGATATGGAGGAAAGAGGTTGAAAAAAAAAAAAAAAAAAAAAAAAAAAAAAAAAAAAAAAAAAAAAAAAAAAAAAAAAAAAAAAAAAATTAAATGTTTTTCAAAAATTAATAAATACAATTAAAATAATTTAGATAAAAATGCAAAAATAAATACATGAATTTAAAAATAAACAAATAAAGATAAAAAGAATCAAATAGAAAAGTAAATAAATAGGAAAAATTATACAAAGATAAATAAATAAATAAGCAAATTAAAACAGAAATATCAATTTATGTCACAATTTATTAATTAATGTCTACATTAATTTTTAATATTATGTTTGGTACATTTAACGGCATATTCATTTATTTATTGAGTCATTTATTTATGTATTTTTTATTTTGGCTGGCAGCTTTGGTCCTTCACATAGAATGATGTAATTTGGTTTTATTTATTTATTTATTTTTGAGTTACTTCTTTTGAATTTTAAAGCAATTGTTGACTTAATTAACTTTTCCATCAAAAGCCAAAATATTTAAAAATTAGAAATGTATTTTGGGAAACTTTATTTTTCATATATGTTGATTTTTTTACTTGCCTGTAAATAAATTAAACATTTCTGCATGTTCAGACAATTTGTCCTGCACAGTCTAAAAGAAGACTTTATGTTGCTGCAGTTAATAATTTAACTGTAATTAATACATTTAAGGTGCACCAGCTGAACACCATCTCTAAACTAAATGACCTCAGTCTGTTCAGGAAACTTCACAGGAAATGATTAGGAACTGGTTGTAAGAGAGTCATGTATCACTGAATCTGCTCATGTTTTCATTGAAACAACTGAAGAATTAATTTCCTTTAAATCCTTTAAACTGTGCCAACACGTGTTTCATCATCAGCTCACGGTCAGAAACAAGATTCCTTTTATTGTTTTAGTTGCAAAGTGAGAATAAAGCTCCATCCTTACAGTGATGCTCCTGATTTCTGATATGTTATCAGTAGAAAAACATTTTTTATATTCCTGACATTCAACACATCAGAGTACGCGTCCTCCTGTCAGCTGGTCGGAGCTCAGCTGAGTTACTGTACAGTGTGTAAAGAGCAGGAGAGGTTGAGGTGATGTACTGACCTGAGGTCCAGGAAGGCCAGGGATTCCTATGGGTCCAGGTTGACCTCTGACCCCTCTGGGGCCCTGCAGAGACAATATGGATTGTTCTGTCAGTCTCTGAGCTGAACTGAGCTCGTCCTCAGAACGTTTCTTTAACTTCATAATCTGACTTCATCTTCTCAAAAGTGGAGCTGCTGACTACGTTTACATGCACATTAATATTTCACTATTTATTATTTATTCTGACTTTGACAGAATAATGAAAACAGCATATTCTGTTTGGACATGGTGAATAAAGTCTTATTCCAAAAGTAGCATTTTCTGATTAATACACTATGGATATGACGTTATTTATCCGGTTCGCGTGCCAAAAATAAAAGCCCACATTTCTGGTCAGAAGGAGAAACAAACCTACTTTTAAACATTATGAAAGACTTGAATATCAGCAGGTTTTTGGATACAGACACACGTCACAGGGGCGTTTTATCTTTATTAGAGTCGGCTGCATGTAAAAGGAATATTAAGGCCAGTTCAGACCAAAGATTCGAGATAAGACGAAACCGTTTTAGAGCGTAGCAGAGGAAAGTGTCAGAATACAGTCCATCTGATGGTAGTTTTGTTTCATCACTGTAGCCAGTATCTCACTATCACTATCCTTGTTCAGATTTTAAGAAGCTACAAATTAGATGATACACCGTCTCATCGTGGTCACTTCCTGTGAACTGCAGGTTTTTACAACATTACAGAACAGCTCATTGCAAGTAGCTGTCTGTTTCAACTCGTCTCGTCGTGAATCTTTGGTCCGAACTGGGCTTTAGTGGTATATATTTTTCATTAGTCATGTAAACAGCTCAGTAGGAATATTGTCTTTGTCAGAATAAGGACAAATACCAGAATATTCTGTGCATGTAAACGTAGTCGCTCTCCCGATCGCTCACCTGTGGACCTGAAGCACCTGGGGCACCTGGCAGTCCTGGATCTCCTGGCCCTCCACGTGCACCCTGCAGGAGGACACACACACGCGCGCACACACACACACACACACACACACACACACACAGAGTTTAAAAAGGTTGGTGTGTAAAGCAGCACTAGCGGCACTGAGTGTTGTTGGAGTTCCTCTCCTACCTTTTCACCAATCGGCCCTCTTCTTCCATCTGGACCCTGAACAACACAGAAACAATATATTTGAATAATAATGCAGATATTTATTTCATGAGTGATTTATCGATCACTGTGTTTGTATTAACAGACTATGAATGTATTATCTTATAGACTTTTTGGCAGAGTCACATACAGGTAGGAGGGAGAATCCTCTCTGGATAATCCCAGTGTTTGTGTCCATGTAAACTTTGCGTTAATGCTGCTGTCAGTTTCTCCTGATTCTGTTCCCACATCTGTTCTTTAACATTTTAACAGCTGCTCAGAATCACAACCACCTTTAATCAGCTTTAATCAACTTTAATAGCCCAGTGAGTAATTTATAGTCATACAGACACATTCTGATTTTAACAGCTGCTCAGTTCAAATGAAACACTATAAAAGTGTGAGCGCTGTAACAAAGTAATGTAACATCAGTGTAACTGCAGCGTCTCTCTGCCCTCTCAGTCTATTTCACCTCTGATCACAGCCAGCATCACTGACAGGTCTGGACTGTGGATATAAAGCCTGTCGTCAGCTGCCTGTCTCAAACAAGAACACACTCTCTGTGTGTTAGCATTTTCAAAATCCCTGTTGCTACATGGAGCTAGTCATGTCATGTCTCTAATAGCCATAAATGTCTCTACAACTTGTTTAAGTGCTGTACGTGAAACAAAAAAACCCACCAAGCTAAAATGTCTTTTAATGTTTCATGTGGCCTTTTCTTTTGCAGGGATTCAGCCATTTTAATGTCAGGGCTCGCCTCTACACCAAAACAAGTTCACTCCTACTTTGCAAGGGCACAGTCGCTGCATCCTGGGCACAGTCGCTGCATCCTGGGCTCACGGCCCGAAAATATGGGACAAGAACCACGCCTGAAGTGTCTGCCCACAGCAGAGCACTGTTGCCAACTACTCAGTAAGAAAAGTAGCTATTGGCTGTCCTAAAAGTCGCTAGAACTCGCTAAATGACGTCATCGCCTAATTTGCATAATTGTCCATATGCATGTAATTGTAATGGCTGCTGTAGGAGAGAGGAATAACATCGTGGGAGAGACAAAAACTGAGTAAAAAAACACCCTGAATATGTTTAGAACTACAAATGAACCTTTTTTCAGTGATTTATATTAGACAAAGAAAATTTTACATTTACATCCCGCCCTGACTGTAAACCAGGTCGGGATCAGAGCGATAGATCAGCCAGCAGCGGTTCCGCGCATGTGCGATTCACTTGCAGTCTGGACGTGGAGGGGTTAACATCTCCTGCTCTGACTGCTGCTGGGAGGGAGGACTGGGCCGTCTGAGAGTGATTTGGGGCGAGAGAGGAGCTCACGGCAGAATCAGCTGCCCGTTGAGAAGACTAAGAATGATACGTGCTCTCACAACAGAGTCTCCAGAAGTCTTCAATAACATCAGAAAAAGTCGCTAGATTTGTCGCTAGTCGCTTTTTTGAAAAAGAGTCGCTAGAGGGGTCTGAAAAGTCGCTAAATATAGCGACAAAGTCACTAAGTTGGCAACACTGCAGCAGAGTGTGTCCATTATTATCACCTCAAGCTACCCCATGTATTTCGGCTGTTAGCGCAGCACAAGACAAATGTGACTATCTTGGGTGAAATCAAACAACCCAGTGCAGAAGTATGAAGTGTTCAGTCAGACCTTTGTGCTTAAACTGATGACATGAAGTAAACAGGAAGTGGATTAAACTGACAACAACAGAGAGTTTCACTTTGTAGTTTTAACATATATAATTAATATTAATAAACCTCAGACTAACTGACTACAGTTTTTAAATTAAACATTTGTCAAAATTGTACTTCAGACATTACTGCATGCAGGTGTGATGAAGTAAAAAAATCTCACCGGGTTTCCAACGACTCCACTCTCACCTGGCAGCCCATCCTGTCCAGGTGCTCCCTGTGGATTTAAACATGTGATAAAGGATGAAGTGTTTTGACAAAATAAGATTTAGGACTCAAATACGGACTAAATTATTTGAGACTTTTTCACAGTGTGACGATCCCAAACCTGTAATTTAAAGTAGAGCTGAGCAAATGTTTCTGATTGTCAAATTAAATGATTAAATCAGGATTTTAAGAAGTTTCTTGTTGATAAAAACGTCAATATGTAAACACAGAAATACAAGAAACAATGCAGTCGGGAATGTAACACTGCACCGGTGTTTCTGACTGATCCAAAAGTCTAAAAGTGAAATGTTTCAAATGACTTATTTCATCCAACAACTTCTACAAAGTTCAGCCTCCAACTTCCCCAAAGATCCAACAGACAGCCATCTTTGCTAAAAACCAACAGGACATTTCCCCTGATGATCTGCTCAGTTGGTGTTTCAGAGCATTGTCTCAACATGGATCCAGTGTGTGATGTTTCTTACCGGTAAACCTGCGTGTCCGGGGTCTCCTTTAGCTCCTGGCCTGGTGTTATCAGCGCCTGGTTCACCCTGTCAGACGAAACACAAAGAGCCACAGTCTTAACTCTGTCAGTCTGAAAAGATAAACTCCACTCAGTGTTTAGTTTCTTTAAGTGGAGCCTCCAGCTGTGATCCAGCTGTTAGACTGTATCACTGTCCAGCAGAACACAGAGCTGATATGAGATTTACTGAAGACCTTTTACTAATGACCTTTTGATGTGACACAGAAGAGAGCTGAACTGCAGACGTGTGTGTGTGTGTGTGTGTGTGTGTGTGTGTGTGTGTGCGTGTGTGTGTGCTGGAGGCTTCTCGGTTGAAACTTCGGCAACAAACTTTGTGTTTTCACGGCTGACTGTTTATAAATTTCATCAAGGAGCGACAAATGATTTTGGCTGAATGCTGCAGGACTTCAGGATCTGCTGATCAGATGTTGGTGAAGATTCTGACTGAGGTTTTTTTGCCCAGTAAGGCCTTCAGTTTTTAACCAAACCAACGAGCCTAAATTGGAAACAACAGAGCTGACTCTCTCACTTGTTCTTCTGCCTCCACAGAAACATCCAAACATGCAGATTCAGCCTAATGAGTCAGTAGGAGGCCGTCAGAGTTATTTCTCTGTCTCCAAACAGGAGTTGTGTTTCTGTAACACAAATGTTCAGGTTTCATTGGTGACATTATGATGCATAAACACCTTTTAAAATAAGCAAAGTCCAGCTGTGTTAAAGGTCAATATGAATATTTTGCCTGGATAAAATATGATGTGAACAAAGATTTGATTTTTCTAATGTCCTAAATCCTGCGGTGGATGATTTGACAAAAATCATGCCGCATTCATGGTGGTCAAATCTAAAAGTCTTTCTCTAACCAGTGCTGCAACCACATGCATTTAGAGAGGATCTCAAACATGGAAGACAAATGAAAAAACAAATAATAAAAACTGTGCTGACCTGTGATTTTAGAATTCTGTGGTCGCAAAAAGGAACTGAAATTCGACCAATCCCTGCAGCGTTTGACATTTTGTCTAATTCCCCTCAATGTTTATGCAAAGATGTGTCAAATTGGAAGAACACCCACTGTTCAAAATCATCCAAATAAACAACACTGCAAACACAAACCAAACAAAATCACTCCTTGATCTCAGCAAAACAACTTCTTTATGCAAACGTGTCTCACCTGTGAGATCTTACCACCCCTGAAGTCATCTCATCAGGCAGAACTCACCCTCATTTTTCCCTTTAAACCTACAGCAACTCTCAGCGAACAGCAGCAGATTTGTTGTTGAAGCTTTAAATGTTCAAACTGTGTGGATAAAGTTCTTCTGATGGATAAATAAAATACATTATAATGAATTACCAGTCATCTTAAGGTTTAGAATTACAAAGTTAATTCTTAGCTCTGCAGTTTGGAGAAAAGAGATTTGTGTTTCTTTAAAGGATTTTCAAACTTTAAAACTTTGATATTTGGGGATTTATTTTGACAGGCAGGCTCAGTTTCTTCCTTCCTGCTCTTTTCAGTTGACAATACATCTTAGAAAGAAATCTGTCACGTCTCTGTAAACCACAAATCCCAAAATGTTTGAGGAATGAAGAAAAGATGAAACTCTCCATGAAAGGCTTTAACAGGATAAAGACACAACGTGATTACAAAATCTCTCTCAGTGTATAAGTGAGTCACTGCTGGTGGAACAAGGTGGAGGTCATGGCTGCGTTTCATTAGTCGTTCAACATGATAAGTGTTGCTCCATTTTTCTGCAGAACTGAAGTGAACTCTGTGAGACTGACCCTCTGTGGGTTGAGGGAGTGAGACAACAACAATGGTAACCCCAGAGGTCTATTAAAAAAATGCATGCATGACTATGTATGCAGATGACACTGCAGTGTATATTTCTGCAAAAAAAATGCCAAAGAGGTAAACCTAACACTTTTTGGAGAGCTGGTGCCGGTTTGTGAAAACAGGCTGATGTTGAACATCTCAAAAACATCTGATATTTGTCTCCAGACACACTTTGAGGACACATCAAGAGCTGTGCACCTCTTTGCATGGTGTGGCTACTGAGCAGGTTAAAGAGGCCTAATTGCTGGGGGTCACACTCGATCCAACACGTTCATCAGCTGACATTAATAACAGTTGCCAAAATACATAGAGGCATTTCAGTTATCAGAAAGTGTGCTGCGATCACAATTAATTAAGTAGCACAAGCTTTAGTTGAATCACACCTGGACTACTGTGGAGCAACCTGGTGTAGTGTCTCGAAACAAGAGCTTAATAACATTCAGCTTGTTCAAAACAGAGCTGCCTGTCTTGTTCTTCAATGCTCTGTGAGGAACAGTGTGGAGGGGATCCATGCCAACCAAAATAATAAGATAAATTGACAATTTAAAAAAAAATCACTACCTGACATGCTTTTTAGTTTCACCTTTTCTAAAACTTCTTATAAGTCCATAAATTTACTTCGGTTTTGTTCATTAGTGGAGAGACGGGATGGGAAACTCCGAACATGAGACATAAATGTCACATGTTTCAGCTGTGGAATAGTCTTTTAAACATGTCTAATCAGAGACTCACTAAATTAATATTAAACTGGGACATACTCCATGGTCGTCCCTGGGCTGATGGGTTTATTTAAATAGAATGTAATTTCTTTTTTTTTTTTCAGAACAACTGACTTCGTGATATCCAGGAGGTGAGGAGTAAAATGTTTTTCATGTATAGAGAAAAATGGTCTGCGGATATATGGCATAAACCAAAGTTACAAACTTACTGTCTTATAAATAATAGCTACACTGTATAACTTTATTCAATTTCAAATTTCAATTAAGTGTAATTTATAAAGCCCAAAATCACAAATCATAATTAGCCCCAGAGAGCTTTACAACATGCAACATCGATTAGATATTAACGTTAAGTACAGTTGGAACAAAAGACAAATATAGATATTAGATAGATATTTTGCAGTTATTCGCATTAGACACCTTCGCTTTTGTGAAAAGAGTCTGCAGGTGTGTCTGATGACGACAGCAGGCGGTGGATCTATGGTAGTTTGGGCTCAAAGTGTACAAAGGCAGGTGCATTCCATTTAAACCTCCAGCTTCTCCCCCAACTATTTCCCTCTGCCCACAAAATGGCCTCTGTGCAGTGGACGGACATTAAGCTGTTATGTAAAACTGAGTGCTGGGGAGAAGTGAATGAGGAGAGGTTATCAAACCTTCTGTATCTCAGTGTTTGATGCAGCTACTGGAGGTTTGAAATGATCAAACCCTACATACACTGTGAGCTTTGAGCGTCCAATGGTCATGTGACTCCATCAACATATCTCTTAAAAAGAGGGAATACAGAGGAAAAAATGAATCAACAGCTGCAGCTGATTCAGAACGCTGCTGCTCGAGTCCTCTTTAAGACCGAGACAGTAGATAACTCCACTTCAGAGGTCTTTACACTTCCTGTCTGGCAGAGAATCAACTTCAAAATACTGCTGTTGATTTATAAAGCACTGAATGGTTTAAGGCCCAAATACATCCAGACCTCTCAGGTCTTCTGGGACAGGTCTGCTTTGTGTCCCCAGAGTCAGGACTAAACATGGAGAAGCAGTGTTTAGTTTTTATGATCCACATATCTGGAACAAACCCCCAGAAAACTGCAGCTCTGCTGTAACTCTCACTTCTTTTGAACAGAGGTTGAAGACTTTTCTGTTTGTCGCTGCCTTTTATCACACTGTAACTTTTATTATTCAAATACTTTTACTAATTCTAACTGCACTGTAACTTTATTCTTGTATTTTACGCCTGTCTTAGAATATTTTCACCTTTTATTTTACAGCTTTTGATATTTTATGTAGAGCACTTTGAACTGCTTTGTTGCTACAACTTGCCTTGACTTAAAAACCTAAACACTTGACTGATTCTATTTGTGAGAGATCATAAGAAAAGTTTTCACCCGAGACAAAGAGAGAGTTTGTAGTGACGCTGTTTGATCTGGTTTGTTCAACAATACATAACATGTGAGAGGTAGGGCTGCAGCACATGCCAGAGCGCTTATATAAACCAGGAACATAAAGCACAGAGGAGGTCGGACTCAAGTTATAATACTACAGGACCTGGTGAAAGAGACTCTGCACTGAGAGAAGAGAGGAGGAGGAGAGCAGTGAGTCGACTGCCTGATGGAAGCAGTCGCTCTCATAATATTTTCGTAGGGGAGTATTTTACAAAGACTACAAAGCTTATCTATTAACGTCTTTGTGACTTCATCCTGTCTGCCAACCTTATTTTAAAGAAATATTTTCAGGACCTTTTCACATTTAACAGAATTAAGTGTCATTTAACAGGACGACAGTGAGGTCGGTCGAATCTACAACACAAACTGGCAGCGTTACATAGCGTCACGTCCTCAAACATGTGTAAGTTAATGTTAGCACATACTGAATGAATCATACAGGCACAAGTCATGAGCTGATCTGAGGACTGATCTGATAACATTCATGTCTGTGGGTAAAATATGAAGCTACAATGAGCAGACAGTTAGCTGAGCACAAAGACTGGGAACAAGAGGAAACAGCTAGCCCGGCTCAGCCTCCCAGCACCTCGAAACTATTTCTCAGCTCTGAGCAGTTTCCAGAAACAGATGGCCCATAGTGGCCTCTGAAACTGCACATTAAAGTTTTTACATTTACTTTTTTGTACAGATTAAACAAATAAGATATAACATGTTAATCAGCGACCTTTAGAGCAGTAGCTGCCTACTGGTCCAGATTTCTCATCAGTCATTAGTTCAAGGTCCACACAGTTTAATACATTCAGCATCAAATTTCAGTTTGGCCATGTTGTCAAGCTAGTTTTCTGTCTCTGATGAGTAGCTGTCCGTTATTCACTCACTCTACAGCAGGAAATGGCACTTCAAAATAAAAGCTCTGTGCCAGAAATTGAACTTAAACATCAGGTTTGACTTTGAGAGATCTGCATCTAGCAGGTGCAAATAAATCCTGCTCTCTCATTCTGAGACAAAGGCTGCTTTTATTTTCAGAAATGGATTTAACTCTTTGAGGTTGAGTGTAAATTGATTTCACTCTCATGGAAAACTTTATTTATTTCACTTTATTTAACAAGAACGATGCAGATGTTGTGTTATTATTTATGCTGAAGTCATGAAACAAATGTTCTGTGTGCAGTGTGTCTGACTGAAGATAATTAGATTCTAATTTCAGGTTAAAACTATGAAACAGATTCAGCATGAAAACAACAGAGAGACAAAGCGTTGAAACTCACCGGATCTCCTCTCAGTCCTCGCTGTCCTTTCAGCCCCGCCTCCCCTCTGATACCTGGGATACCCTGAGGACAACAGTTCAATCTGTCAATCAACCAGCTGGAGGTCAGAAGTCAACGCCTCTGAGCTGATGAGGCATGACAGCTAAAAGGGAATTCCACTGAACTACAGATTCAAATACTGAACACGTTTAAACTGTTTACCAAAACACACAAATAAACAACAAAACAACAAAGGCAGGTAAACAAATATAAAATAACATCAAATAATCATCACATTGGTAATGTAACATAAATATATTGGTATCATAAATAAAGTTTAAATGAATCATGACTATTGAACTGTTCTCATTTGACATCTGCTGAATTCTGTAAGTATAAATGATTAAATGTAAATAAATAAAATGTCAAAATCAGGAATTTATAATGATACCACAAAATATTTGTGTAAATTACTCATTAAATTATACATTTAAATCTTAATGTTGTCTGTGTGGTAGGATGAAGTTGGACATTGGTAATTACGACTTGCAGGAGCAACATTTTTATTCCTTTTTAAATATATATTTTTATTATTTCAATTAATTTAATCTCTTTAATTGTATGTATTTTTATTTTGTACTTTTGTTTTGTATAAAGTTGTACATTGACATAGTTATGTATCGTTTATGTCCCTTGAAAATCTAATAAAGAAAGTGTAAAAATAATTATATGTTCATATTTATATGTAAATATTCAGTTTTTATTCACATTATTAAGTTAATTGTTATTTAGGAGCACCCACATTATACATATATATATATATATATATATATATATATGTAAAAAAATACTTTAAAAAAAAATGTATTTTAAAAACAAATCTCTTGAAAAAATATTAAATATAAAAAGACATAAGAAACATCACAGTAATAATCATTTTACTCTTCAATAAAATAAGTCAGAATTCATTATGAATGTTGAGAAATTATGTCGACAACACAAAATACCAACGTTATACTCCAAATTGTTATTATTCCATTAAAACTTTATAATTTAAAATTTAAACTTACAATACAAATATAAAAAATATTATAATTTTCTTTAATCATTAAATTAATGTAATTTCATAGCAACTATAAGTCATCCTAACAAAACTTTACATATATTTTTTAATATAGCCTAACATGTTTTTCCTGTTTGCTTCGACTTTGATTTTAAATGCAGTTTGTTTGAATGTTTTTAAAAATTAGAATGACTGAAAAACACCTGTTTACACTTTCACAGTGACATTAACTAACATGCACGTTAAATCTCCTGATTGGAAATGTGAAAATACAGATAAAGATTCTGTGTGACTGAAATGTGGTGCTCAGGTTGTGAATGATTTCCTGGTTTGATAAACACAAAGACAATGATCATATATAGAGAAATATAAATGTTGTATTACTGGGTTTCCTGGGTTTCCTTTCTCTCCGCGACCGCCATCTTTTCCCGTCAGTCCCTGGAAACACAGAAGCAGAAAAAGCCTGAAAATCCCTCCAATCAGCTCTTTTCCTGAACACACCCATTCATTTCCTCCAAAATGAAAACAAAAACAGAGATCGACTTTATCTCAGCGTCATCGTCCGATCACATCAGTTTGTTGTTTAACTTTCAAAGTGAAAGGCGGCCATCTCCTCCAACTCACATGAACTGTTGATTACATGTATCCAAAACAGCCTCGTTAAAAAACGAGATGCTGCTACTTTGAGTTTCTCCTCTGATCTCTGCTGATTAAAACAATGAGGAGAAGTAAAAGAGATTTGTTGTTTCACATCCCTGTGGGCTCTACAGTGCAGCATTTCACTGCACATCAGAGCAGAGGATATGATGTCTCAGCCTGACAGACATACATGAAACAAACAATTAAAACTGAGATTTATGTCTGTTTTCAACACAGGAAAAATACCTGTATATGAATGAATATATGGGAGTGTAGATACAGGCCTACATTCTGCTGTCATGCTGATTCAACACATTCTCACTGTGACCTCGTCACATGTCCACGTTTGGTCATGGACTTTCCACGTCCACATATGACGTCCAAGGTACCCTGTGTGTGTTGGTTGTTGACGTTCTGGGACGCCGTGTCAACTTCAGCCTGTTACATGCATTGTCTGTTTTCAAAATACACTTCTGTTTTCACAGGAAATGTAGAGTTTGCATACAGTCTCTTTCAAAATAAAAGCACTACGTTGGACTCGTTACGACACCGCCAACTGACGTTTTTTTCCTTCAACAACAAACACACGTGGTTGAGTTCAGGAAAAAAGACCAGGGTTTGGCTTTACAATCACATGGGAAGCAAAGACTGGTGTCCCAGGTGAAATGAACACCCACCAAGGACCAAATGCAGTTAGATTTTCGGTTTGGTGAGTAAATGTCTGAAGGCTACTGGCCGGTAAATGTTTGTGCCAAAACAGTCTTGTCATAAAAAACTATGCTGCGAGTCAGCCACGTTTTGGTGTTGGGCAGCTGTGCCTCAGAGGTAGAATGGGTCTTCCTCTAATCGGAAGATCGGCGGTGCAATCTCCAGCTTGGGAAAGTTTCTATTGTTTTCTTGTTTTCCTTTGTTGAAATACATGTCATTAATTTCTTGTGTTTTCACTAAAACATTTTTAATAATTAAATGCTAAAATCAACAAACAACATTCCTTTTATTTCTAAAAAGACAGACTTTAAAAAATCTTAAGTTGTTTTAATGCAGCATTTTTAAATCATTAAATACTGAGGTCAAACCCAATGTACACACATTAAAAAAGTGAAATAAAATAAAAATATACAAACTTTACTAAACTATCACTTGCAGCCGGTCTGCTCCTCATCACCGTTATTTCTGGCTGGTAGAAAATATGTTCGGCTGGTCGTTTTTTTTTATCTACCACTGCCCTCGGCCGGTGAGTCAAAAAGTTAATTTTGAACAATGTGCAAGTCTCACTGAGTCTAACAGTCTATCGGTTTGAAAACCTGTTGCATAAATGATTTATATTTATGTGTCTTTGCTGAAGTTCGTACCTGTTCTCCATTAATGCCATCCAGTCCGTCTTCACCCCCATCGCCCTGCAACGTTGTAAGAGAGTCGAGTGTCAGCAGATTTTCTTTGCATCGTCTAATTTGACTCTATCTGGACTTTAATGTTTGTCCAAACATTCCTCAGCACATACAGCACATCACGTTACGTCCTCGCTTAATTTTCTTACATTCCAGGAGGCCTGAGTCACTCACCCTGTTTCCTCGGCTGCCTCTGTAGCCCTGCGGACACATACATCAGAGTTAGACGCACATCGTCAACAGCTGCTCCAATCAGACCGTACACATGGTTACTAATCACTTATATAATAAGTAGTGCTCAGTGGTACTGAGCAGTGGTGTACCTTCGCTCCTCTGAGCCCAGGACAACCCTGGACCCCCTGAGGTCCACTCGGTCCAGGAGGCCCACGCTCGCCCTGCAACATACAAACAAAGAAAAGGTGCTGCTTTAACTCTGATATCACCACTGTGAGACTTCCTGACTAAATGAAGTTATATCAGTGGTGAATAATGTCATCTTAAGCTCCTCAGAGTCCAAAGTGTCATCTTCAAACGTCAAAGATATTCAGTTTACTGTGATGTAAAACAGAAAAGCAGGCACTGGAGAAACTGCTGTTGAGGAATATATCTGGAGCTTATGACTGAAAATGACTTAAAATGTTTGATTAACTACAAATATGATTTACTAAGAACTTTCTGTTGGAACAAGAATTAATGAAATGCTGTCAATAAGAAAGAATTTTGTTTTGAAGGAGTTCAGCTGTTAGTTGACTCCTGCAGCTCCACGATACAAGATGTGTATGTGTGACACACAGGTGGTGAAGTACAGAGTTTTATTATTTAGTTTACAGAAATGCAGCTTTTAATCAACTCCAGAGACACATCTAGTCTTTAAAGTGGAAAGTTCTCTGCTTTGTCAGCAGTTAAGAACAAACCACCAGTTTAACTATTCTCTGGTTAAACAGTGAAACTTAAACTGAATTATTAAGCACTTACAGCGACGCCCTCCTCTCCTGGGAACCCGGGAAAACCCTTCTGCCCTGGCACACCCTGTTTATAAAACACACACACACACACACACACACAGCAGGGTCAGTGGCAGAAAAACTGAACATTGAAAAAGGTAAAAAATCACGTTGTCCCATGTCCTGTACCCAGCAGGTCTATTTCCTTGAGGATAATCAAGCTAAAACTTAAAGGTTTACTAAATTAAATAAGAAATACGTTTGGCCCTCTCTTATTTTAATATCTACACTTTTCTTCTTGAACACCTCATTGATCCTTTTCCTGTGAATGTCTTATGATCTTTGATTTGAAATTCTGGTAATTTCCAAAGAAATATGACACAAACCTGAAACTATGATGTGACCTGGCTGTCAGCACAACTTTTCAAACTGTATTTGTGTTTTATTTTATATTGAAAGAGCAGATCTCATCCTCCAGATAAATAGTTTAAGAAGTATTTCACTGCTGGAGAGATGAACTCTTTTCATTAAACTAAACTGTCTGTGCAGCAGAAAGACACAAATACTTTTAATATTGGTGCCACATGACCAGAGAAAACTGAGAAAAATGGCTGTAGCATTCCATTTTGTCCAAGAGGTAGAAAACCTACAACTACCAGAATGCACCACACTGGTAACAAATGATTTTGTATTACAGTTTTACAGTGAGCTGAAATATGTCTCTGAAAACATTTTAGGCCAGAAACAGGCAGTACAGGAAGAGAATCTTGTATCACATCGGATCGGTACTGCCTAGTTTTACAGTTTGATCTGAGTTTAAAGGTGCTTTCACACCTGCGCTGTCTGGTTCAGTTCAATCAAGCTCAAGTTCGTTTGCCTCCTCAGTGCGGTTCGTTTGGGCAGGTGTGAACAAAGCAATCACACTCAGGTGTGCACCAAAACAACCAGACCGAGACCTTCTTGAAGAGGTGGTCTCAGTCTGGATACAAAGGAACTCTGGTGGAGTTCACATGGAAATTCTGACCAATCACGAGCTGCTTTCTCACACGAGGCATTTGATCTGGTCCTCTTGTAAATGCTGCCGTGAGAACACGAACCAACTCTAGGCAATTATACAACTTTGGAACAACATGAGTCCCTGATTCAGACCAAAGGAGACCACTCTAGGGCTGACAGCAGCCTACGCTGTCTTTCTTGATCCACCTTGACACTCTTCGTGGCATACAAAAATGAAGAAGTGTAATCTGTAGTTTGAGCAGCAGCTTTACAGCCAGCGAAAATCCATCAGATTGAGCAAGGAGATCTGAGCGCTGGCAGTTCATTTACACCCACTACCCACACTGTTACAATACAAAGCTGGCTGAAGATCAGCAGTGTCCCTTTAATCATATTTAAAATGTCTATTATACCAATATAATCATTATCATAAAATTATACCTAAAGCTGTGAAACATTAATCTTTCTAAATAAGGGTGTAAATGCATCATGATCTCAGCATTACCAATACATTAGTGATTTTCATCAGGAGCAGTGGTGGAAAGTAACTAAGTACATTTACTTAAGTACTGACCTTGTACTTTACTGGATTACTTCTATTTCATGCTACTTTGCAATTCTCCTGTATTTAATTGACAGCTATAACTTTTTTCCACATTAAGATATGTGAATGTCAAAAAATATTTAAAATGTTTATAAGACACACATGAAGCAGATTAAACCAGCGGTTAACTGTGTAAGGTCGTGACCCTCTTACAAATAAATCACTGTGTAGTTGTGTCTCTTTGTCGTGTTTCAGATCAGTCTCTGGCTTGTTGTCAGTTTCACCACAGAAACACTTATTATCCTATTTTCTCACATGGTTTCATTTAAATAACAGTTTGAGGCTCAAAAACATTAAATTATCTAATATGTCACAAAAAAAAAGACTAGAGAAAAGTCCTAAAACTGGAAACAGCTGTTTCTTCTTGCCGCTCCCATTTTCCTTTGGAGTAACCACTGGACTAAACCAGCTAACTGTATGTGAAGAAGTATAGGCCGAGCAGAAACAACTGAGGCTGAAAAATGAAGCCAAAAACTGCAGTTCCTCTAATGACCACTTGAGGCCGGCTCCAAGAGTGAGTCAATCCCCACAGACCTCCATGTTAACGTGTCCAACTTCACAGCAGAAATAAACATGTTTACAGCCTGGTGCAAAAAAACTGCTTTGGTCTCTGTAGCTAATTTCAACATTCATGACAAATGTACAGGGGCTGAATTTATACATATATATATGTGTTTACATTTTATTAAGGCTTAAAGTTATGCATAATTAAGGGCAGGCTGCTTTGAGTGACAGGCTCAATAGCTGACGCACTATTATAGAACATGGGGGATGATTGGTTTGTTGGAATATAATGTTGCCATCTTTAGCTGTAACTTTGTGTCATCAACATTTACTTCATAATGATAAAGCAAAAGACGTCTTTCATCTTTAAGTAAATTATCTGTGCACTTGTCATTCCTCTCAGCCCTGAGGAAGACAGGCGTCTCATGTTTCGCCCTGTGTAACAGGATATATTTAACACTGACCTGAACACATGATAAATGAGGCTTAACGTTGACAGGTGTCCACCTTCACTCTGAAACGTCCAAAAGTTGAACCAGGCCTGTTGCTTACTTTATGAAGTCACTGCAAGTGTCTGCTTGTACTCAGCTCTGCCTTCTTATTGCTTCTGACACATTTTCCCAAACATCCCTGACATCATGTTTAAAGTTAAAAGGTGTGTGTGTTTCAGTCACCTTTGGCCCCGGGGTGCCCCGAGAGCCACGGATGCCTTCATGACCCGAACATTTGCACATGACACCGCAGCACTCCCGATCTGACACCGCATCCTGCAGAGAGACAGAGAGCAGAGGAGAAAACAGTCAACATTTCCTGACGTCTTTATATGGACCTGACTTTAAATAAACAAACAGTAAAAGACTTTTTTGTACTTTAACATTAAACAGTTAAAGGTTCTGACTGGTTTCTGATTAAGTGAAGTGATCCTTGTTTATCGCTGTTTCCTCGTTCAAACCCTTAATAAGATGCTTATCATGAAAAAAAAAATAGCATTTTTATTTTTTCCCATGACAAATTTGAGCCCCTTTCCACACACAAACCCATAAACACCTGCTAACATTTGTATTTTGTATTTAATGGGAAGGGTTACAATCGGTATTCACTCCCAGGTCAAATGACTCTGCAGTGGTCATGTATATCTATTAGTGTTGTCACGATACCAAAATCTTTGTTTCGGTACCAATACCGATATGAATATCGATACTTTTCGATACTTTTCCTAAGGAAAAGTCCTTTTGGATACAAACCCTTAGAACAATAAATAGTAGGGGTGTAACGGTACCAAAAAAATCATGGTTCGGTAAGTACCTCGGTACGGACGTCACGGTTTGGTAACTCAAATGTTCCACCAAGTTCGTGTTGTCTCGTGTTGTCTCCCTTTGCGAGGCAGACTTTCTCTTGTCTTTTTTCACGTGCGCCAACTGCGAATGTTGATACAGGTGTTGTCATACACACCACTTGCGCAATCTGTGCTCCAATAGGAACAAGGAAGGCGTTTGTGTGCATAAATGAATAAAATAAATTAACTAAATTAATGAATTGAATCAATTTCAAAGTACCAGTATTTTTCAAATGCAGTATAGTACCGTTTGGAATACTCTAGTACCGCGGTACTATTTTAGTACCGGTATACCATGCAACACTAATATCTATCGGCTCCCATCGGAGCTGATCACGCTAATTTTACCCCCACTGCAGCGAGACACAATGACAGGCTGCCACAAAATAATGTCTGTCTCTGCCTTTTCAGCACTTGAACATCAATTCGAATTACTCGTCACCTACTTTAAAGCAGAGACTGAATAATAGACATTTACAAAAAGTAACCACCATAATGTTTGCACCGGCCTCCATGCTGCTTTCTAGTGTTTACTAACCTATTTTCCGGCCCATTTGTGACATTGAACATTACACGCAAGAAAACTATCACCTATTTTTAGCAAGTTGTCCTGTGTTTAAAAAAGAATTTGTACCTGCATACACGGCCTAATTTTGGTGGAAAAGGGGTATTAGTTTGCCAAACATTTACATTTAGAAACTTTTTTGTAATGTCAAACAATAATCTGGAAGTATGACAAAAGATTTTAAAAAGTAAAAAAAGTAGCAAACAGTAAATTAACAGAAAAGTCAGAATCTGTTCCTGCAGAAGGTTTTGGCTGCTGTTCTTTTCAAAATATTATATGAATGAGCACTTCTTAAAAAAATCAGTTTTTATTAGAAGCAGGTACAAGCTGATTTTTTTTCCTTTGCCAGTGGCTGTTCCTCAACATGCTGAGTAATGCACATTTTTTCTTCAACCAACATTTCCCTGAGGCTTTTTTCTGGTTTTCATTCCTGCAAACAGACACGCCAGGACAGGAAAACCTTCTCTGAACTAATGAGTTTCTGTGATTGTCATCATGCTTCATTCTTCACGAGATAAGATAAGACAGGACTTTATTAATCCTGCAGGAAATTCTTGTGCAAACACACAAGATAACGAAGAGCAACTCTGGCAGGCTGCCACCCGCGACGGCACCACGAGTGGATAATTCTGTATTCATCATTCTGCACTACTTTATCCTCAACTTTGAAAAGTGATCTACTGCACAAAAAAGATTAATTACTAGATAAAAATGTAAAATGAGACAGTTCTTGTGTTGTTGGAGACAGTTTGATGTAACCATGACAGCAGTTTCCATGTGCAGATAAGCATTAAAGCAGGTGATGCATCAACTGTTAAAAATTACTTCTGGCCAATAATTCATTTCACTCAAATCGACATATTTTCAGATTTTACTAAAGTGTCATTTTTTTTCTCTTGTAGAGATGAGTGCAGTCAGAAATGTAAACAGGAAATGTATCACTCTTAAAGCGACAGACACTGTTTGGTGTAATTGTATTGCCCTTGATATAAAGGGAGTGGCTGTTTGATTCATGGTTAGCAGTGACATTAACGACTTACGATTTGTTTGAGGATGGTGCTGCCGACACTTGGCATGCCAATGGTCAGAGGAAGCTTGTAGCCGAATCCTCGACCAAACTCCACCATCTGCAGCTGGGCGGGATCACGCGCGCCCTCCAGAGCCACCGTCAGCAGAGCACTGACCCCTGCAGATAAATAACATTTATGTGTATGTTCTCTATAAACAGCTGCATTAGCTGCTAACATGGTGTACTAAAAACATAAAATGTTGGATTTAAATAATCTACTTGATAATTCAAATAAATTTATATAATTATGAAAATAAGAAATACAAATTGTGGTAATCTTCAATCTTCGAACAAACCCCCCCACAGTTTTTACCGGACTTTCGCAGCAGATCTGATTCATGCTCCAGTTTCATCACGTCTTCATCGAGTCCGTCTGAGAAGATCACCAGAACCTGATGGACGAGATCAGTCACATGTTAGACTGCTTTTATTGTTAAAGTCCTGGATAAGAAAAATACAACTCATGTCCTTATTCTGAACATTATTCAACTTAAGGTAAAGAAACATCCATATCTAAGGGTAAAATGCCTGATTAACCACTAAAGTATGGAGAATAGAACAAGAAGAGGATAAATTATTTCACTAGGTCATTAAAACTTTGAAGAGAAAGTAAAGAGAGAGTACACAGTGACTGAATGGTACTCAGTTGGCAAATGCAATTATCCTCAAAGTTACTGACTTTGTTATTTTTAATGCTTTGGATAATCCATAAACCTCTACAGTCTTCTAACTCTAAACCAAACAAAATGTGTCTGACACAAGTCTAACAGACTGGAGGATTTACACAAGTCAACTTGCACTTCCTAATACTTTTCATACTTTGTTAAATCCCATGTAGGCGGCAGATTTGTGGTTTAGCATCACAGGACATCACATTGAGACCCAGAATTAAGTGTTTACAGAGTCTACAGCTTCAAGCCACTTCTGATCACTTCAGCAGAAAACTAAATGAAATCATTTAAGTTTGGATTTTTCTAACCTGGGCTCTATTCACCCATGTCTTTGTTTCTAAATAACTAACGGGAACAACAGCTTTTGAAATTGGTCCAGTACTGCACCCCACTTGGGGCATGTTCACACTGTCAGTGTATGTTCACTTAAAGTTTTTGGCACTGACATTATAGAAAGCATCCCTACAGAGACAGACCTTATTGTTAAAGAGTAAGATTATTTTTGTTTAACCAGAAACAGCCCTGAAATCACCATTGCCAAACCCACCAGACTCCATTTAAATAAACAGTAATTTTAGCATGAATAGAGGGAGCATAGTATCTTCACATCTAACTGGATGAATTAAGGGTTTATTTCATCCAAACCAGAGTGGAGAGACAAACAAAGATGCTTTTTGTGAGTTTTATTTTGTTTCTGTTGACTTTGAATGGAGCGTGTCTTAGGATGATAAAATTACTGTTTATTTACATGGAGTCTAGTGGGTTTGGCGATAGCAGTTTCTGAGCTGTTTTTGATGAAACAAAAAGGATCTTACTCTGTAACAAAAAGGTCAGTCTCTGTAGGGATCATTTTAATGATGTTGTCAGACACATCACTTACAGTGGACGTACGCAGACAGTTTCATCGCTGCGCTTTTACTCAATTTTTTTGCGACTTTCGTACTTTGTGCTCATCTCAGACTCACCTTCACGCCAGCGTTTGACTCAGTGCTGAACATCTCCCCAAAGGATTTCAGCATAGCAGTGTCAAACCTAGTGGGTTCTGTCAAGGTCAAGTCCATGACTTTATTCACCACGTCCTCGCTGTAGCCCTCAAACCCGAAGTCGTGCTGGGGACGTCCATCACGGCCCACTACACGGTAGGCGATGTTAGTCTTAAGAGGTGGGGGATCGACGCAGCACAGGCCTTGTACTGTGGAGAAGTAGTGGGCGATATCTGGCAGGAATGTCTGGAGCTTGGTGTGGCCACTGACCAGCTTCTCACCGGGAGCTCTTCTTCGAGAAATATCAAATCCCATGGCGATATCAATGCTGCAGGCTGTGGCAGAGGGAAACATGTCTTTAAACAGTCACAGACACAGAGGGATATGGTGGGAAACAAGAGGCAAAGTCACACTGTTCAACTCACCACTGGGATCTCTGGGGGGTTTAGATTTGCAGATTGTGTCAACCACCTTTTGCCTGATCTTTTCCAAGCTGCCGAAGTTCTGCACAGTAAACAGCCTCTCGGGAGTGCCAGTGATCTGCAGGAGCTCCAGATTATGAACGTCTCCGATACCAATGGCAAACACCTCGATCCCCAGGGCCCTGAGACGGTCGGCGGCATCCTCCACGTCATCCTGTGATTCACCATCTGTGATCAGCACCAGATTCTGGGAGATCCCGGCAGATCTTCGGCTGCCTTGTGACGCCTCAAAATACACCCTGATGGAATCCAGGGCACGTCCGATCATGGTGCCCCCACCACGCTGCTTCATTTCCAAGATGTGCTTGTTCACGACTTGTTCGCTGTAGTACTGGTTGAGGTAAAACTCATGTTGGAAACTGCTGCTGAACTGGGCAAGTCCCACTCTCACAAACTTTTCACTGACTTTGAAGCTGTTTACTAGGTCTGTGGTGAACTTCTTCATGGTGGCGTAGTCAGCTGTGCCGATGCTGCCAGACTGATCAACAAGGAAGACCAGGTCAGCCTGCTGTTTTTCACAAACTGCAGAAGCAAAGAGAGGAAATTTATCCACATTACTAATAAATAAGTAGGGCTGCGTATCAAGTCACAAAATATGATAACAGTACTAATACCAGTATTGCCTGATATCAGACAGAATTGTGAACTTGTGAACTGTGAACAGAATTGTCAGGATTCGATTTTCCCTAACCAGTCACTAGAGACCAACGTAGCCACCTAGATCTAACGTCAAGTCCACACTGATGGGTAGCCATGCCAACATATCTGTTTTTCCAGGGTTTTAAGACTAAAGTGGAGCAAAATAAAACAAACAACGACGTCAGGCAATATTGAAAAGACAGGTTGATTTAGAGCAGCCTTGATAACAGATCACATTAAAACGCTTGCAGTAATGGGTTGCGAGCAAAACCATACCATAAGTCATTTTTTTCTAGATCTGGGTAAAAAACAGATCAAATGTAATTATTGTTTAACTGGAGAAGTTTTGATACTACTTGGCACTGGGTTGTTTCAGTATTGAATACTGGTGCCCAGCCCTATAAATAAGAGAGCCACATACTCAGCTCACCTCAAGTTCATTAGACTTTATTCTTAATAGCTTTAAACACTTAAATGTTTTGTGGTTGGAGGCTGTCTCTGTGCTCTTCTGTTAAGAAATGCCAATATGTTTTGTGGCCCTGACGTCTCAGCCCGATGGATAAATCGTTAGGATGATCGCTATTGGCTGCTATATTAGTACTGCCTTGTATGTTGGCAGATATGCTTCAAGAAATTGCAAAACACAACTGCTTTATGGGCTACTTATGTATCTGAGAGAATTAATTTAACAGAGTGTCTATTTGCAACTGGTTGAGAATGGTCACACTGCAGCTATTTGGCTCTTTACACCCATCCTTGATGCATTGAGGTTGAAAGTGGATAGGATTTGGGCAAAGAGGTTATGGTAAGGGCTAGTACTAGAAAATCTTGGATATTCTCTGATTAAAGTGGTAAATTAAGAGAAAAAACTCACAAATGTACTGGCAGAAAGTCAGGTGACAGTATAAAGAGCAATACAGTTAATGGAAGGAGTAAGACTTGGTGGATGAATTTGGGATGTTCACACAGAAGACTGGAGCTTGAGTCCTAAGTGAGTTAACGTTAGCCTAATAATTTTAGACATAAATGACTTGTTCACTCCAGTTTTGGGATGTATGAAGCTGCCAAATGCACACTGTGTACATAAACTTTAGCAGAATAGCTGAACAGACCCGTTCGTTTCAACATCATATTCCAATATTGCCAGGACGTCCAGGAATATACACCCAGGTGTGAACAGCCACATCAGGTGCAGATAGCACTGTTGGCTACAGACACTTGGGAACAAATATCATCTGCCTTAATTTAATGTGATGTAAACTTTTTGTCAAAAAACCTTTCGAACACTTACTAGACTCGGTACTAAGATGTAAAAAAACTTTTCCTCAAATCACAAGTTTCCAATTCATTCTGTCAAGTGTGAGTAGCATTGTGATTTGGCTTTATCCGTGAATCTTTGTGGTTTAGTGCTGCTATACACGTAAGGGTGGAAAGGCTTACTGCTGTTGGGTGATCCATGTTTGAGTTCTTTGAGTACCACAAATTAAACTCAATGGACAAACACATCTACATGATTAGATATGTCCAGGCTCAAGTGAAAAATTTTTTGTTTTTTAAGCTTGAGTGAACCGAGCCTCTAAATCTTTGAACGAGAATAGAGCTCAGTTCTCCTTAGAAGAACTTTTCTCCATCAAGATTTAGAACTACTATATACATAGGTGCTGTGACACCGTCGGCTCTTACCTGGCTTGGTGGAATTGCAGAGGACATTTGTGATATTCTTGTACAGAGTTTCCAGGGCATCGAAATTATCCACATAGAAAACTCTGGAAGTGTCTTGGCCAGCCATGATCTCCAGCTGCGTCCTGTTGGCTCCTTCAACTCCGATACTGAAGACGCTGATCCCGCTGTCTTGCAGTGCCACGGATGGCGCAACCAGACTGTTGCGGTCTGTAGCATCGCCATCTGTGATCACCATGAGGATCTGTGGCACCTGGAGAGCCGCCCGACCACCATGTTCGCTGTTAAAGAACTCTAAAGAGTATCCCAAAGCCTTGCCAGTGTAGGTGTCTCCATACGGGGACTTGAGTGCAGATATTGCATTAAGAACCTCTCGTTTGGAGTTGTACTGTTTCAGAGTAAAAACAGACTTGGCGTCGTTTGAGTAGAGAATGACCCCAAAGCGGGTCAGGTCCTTGCCAACTGTTGTTTGGTTCACCATTGATGCCATGAACTTCTGCATGCTTCTGAACTTGGGTAGGGTTATGCTTGTAGAGCCGTCCACCAGGAAAATAATGTCAGCTTTTTCTGTCTTCTTACACTCTGGTTGGAAATAAAAGGACAATAAGCAAATTAAGTCAGAGGGAAAAGTAGTAGTTTTTAAGTTCAATGCACCTGGCATCTTTTTGGGAGTGTTTTGAATGCCTCGAGTTGAAAAAACTTCGACTCAGAGCAGAAATATGCCTGAAATGTTTTTTCCTATTGGATGATGTTTCTTAAAAATAGCCTTTGTTTAATAATATTGTACAATTGGTGTCACAACCTGGAACCAATTAAGGTCCCTAAGACAGAATTCTAAGGCAATACTTCAAAAGGGTTTTCAATTCTTAAAATAAAAATATAGAATCTCTGCCGGAAAAGACTGGATGTGTTTGTGTTTTTTCTACAAGAATTAAGTCAGATGTAGGAAAAAGAGAGGAAATCTGTGGTTTACATCTGTTATTCTGGATAGTCCCAGACTGCTCTCACCTCTCTCTGGATCACAGAGCTCCATGGCCACTTGGCTCTCCAAGTCCTTCAGAGCGTCAAAGTCACTCTCAGCATACATCCTGTTGGGTGAACCGCTGATCTCCAGCAGCTGGGTGGTGTTGGCGTCCACCACTCCAATGGCATAGATCACCACTCCCTTGGCTCTCAGAGCCTCAGCGGGGCCTTTGACCTCATCTTGGGCCTCGCCATCTGTGATCACAACCAGCCTCTGCCTCATGCCAGGACGCCCTCCTCTGTTTGCATCAAAGTACTGCGACACATCAGTGATGGCGCCACCTGTGTGCGTGCCTCCACCAATCTGCTGCATACCATCGATGGCTTGTGACATTTCTTCTTTGCTGTAGTAGCGGTTGAGGGGGAACGCTAGTTGTTGGGTGGCACTGAACTGCATGACACCTACATGCACCTCGTTCTGCCCAATGATGGACCTGCTGATGACAGATTTCATGAACTCTTTCATTTTGTTGTAGTCTTGTGGATAGATGCTCCCAGAGCTGTCAATCAAGAAAAGGAGGTCGCCTGGTATGTCCTTGCAAGCTGTGGACACATGAGCACAGACGTTAGTGTGGTGTTCCTCTTTTTTCCTGACTTAGGGCCCTTTTCAAAGAAAAAAATCAAAATGTATCTGTAACAACAGAATATCTTTAGAGTAAGTAAAGTGCAACAGACACCAATCACATCACATCACATTACATCATTTAATTCTCACCCGATGTAACACATGATGCCTACATTTACATGCACAGAAACATTCAACTATTATTATTAATATGACAATATTCTGAATATAATGCGGGTCATACAAACAGCATTGTCTGTATGTAGCATTTCTCCAATTAAGACATGAGGGATAAACCAATATTATCTGGGTTTTAGGAGCATTCTCTGGTAATGTATACAGCACATTTGGTATATGCAATTTAACTGGGGTTTTTACTTTAGTTTGTGACACACGGCGTTGTGCACACACCAACAGTTTGGGAGGCTGGGGTAGGGACGCATGCCCAAAAGAAAAGCCCACATTTCTGGACGGAAGAAGGAAAACATCTACTTTAAAACAAAATGAAAGATTTGGATATTAACAGGTTTTTGGATACACAGATCTCTTCAAGAAGGTGGTTGAAGGAATGAAAGAGGAAGACTGTGTTTCCACGGTTGAACAAGTCCGCCACCAACGGACAATTTTGACAAAGTCCTTCTTTGATACAAAAAAGCAAAATGCCACAAGCGACTACAGTGGTTCCACTTTACCATATTTGCATGTGATAAATGACACGTTTAGGGCACGTTAATTGGAGCATGCATAGCTGTAAGTAACTGCAAATATTAGTGGATATTTTGTGCATGTAAACATAGTCACTGAATTCATCCTGCAGATGGAGGAAGTGGTATTGGTATGGTGTGCCAATCAACTGGGAAACAACTGAGAAACAGGACATATTACTGGAATATCAATTTTCATTGCCATGTAAACAGATTAGTAGGAATATTGTCTTTTTCAGAATAACGGCAAAAAACAGAATATTTTTTGCATGTGAATGTAGTCACTGAATTCATCCTGCACACAGAGGATGTGATATTGGTACGGTAGCTGGGATGTGCCAATCAACTGGGAAACAACTGGGAAAAGGATGGTGGCATATTCTGATGTGTCAGTCCGACACGACGTGTGTCAAGACACAACCAATGTGTGGTCTTAAATAGAAAACAATGGGTGCCAGGGCTCACTGGTGGCCTACAAGTTAAGGTGTCGACCACGAGCGGCTACTGAACCATAAACTGTCCCCAGTTCACGTCCAGCTGGGGACCTTCTCCCAGTCTGCTCTCCATTATCAGCTGTCTGATGCTGGTGTGTGTTCCCCCTGACTGCTACATACAGAATATGGTAGACATGCATTTTACATTCTAGTATGGACAAGTTTTTTCTTACCGTCTTGAGAACAGATGTCCGTGATGATGTCATCCTTGATGGGCTTTAGAGCATCAAAATTATTGACAAAGAAAGTCCTCTTGGGGTCGCCGGAAATCTCTCGCAGCTCAGATACATCTGCCTGTTTCACCCCGATGGCGTAGACGATGACGCCCTGTGACCTCAGTTTTTCCGCAGGAGCCTTGACTTCATCAGTGGACTTTCCATCAGTGATGACCACCAGGTACTCTGGGACTTTGTGACCACGAGTGACCATTGCTCTATCAAAATGTGGGCCCATGAATTCCAATGCTCTTCCTGTCTCTGTCCCGCCCCCTATTTGTCTAATACCCTCTACGGCTTTCTCCAGTGTCTTGGTATCTGAGTAGACTGTCAGATCAAATTCTAAGTTTGGCGAATCTGCGTATTTCGCAACCCCCATGCGAACATGTTGTGGTCCAATACGGAAGGTATGGAGGAACTCAATGATGAACTTCTTCATGTCTTGGAAGTCGGAGGGGTAAATGCTTCCTGAATGATCAATTAGGAAGAAGATATCTGCTTCATCCGTTTGTAAGCAGCCTGGAAAAGGACAAGAAAAGACATTAGGAGTTATTTTCCGATGCATCAGCTGTACTCTCTGTTTACACTCATTCACTTTATGTTTTATCCTATAAATACGATTCTACCATTAAAATTTTGACCAGTACTGTGACTGAAAATATATTCATAAACATGTTCAACAAACCAATTAAAAAGCAAACACTGGTTCAGACCTTCTTTGATGCCAGTTCTTCTTGTACTGACGGAGATTGCTTGCCGAAGGATGTTTTGGCACAGAATTCTCTGCAGGCTCATCTCCATTGATTTCAGCTTGGCAAAGCTGTCCACAATAAACATGTGCTTTTGGGGGGGATGAGACGCCATTTCTATCAGCTGGGCTTTGTTGGCATCTTTGACTCCTACTGCGTAAACCGTGACACCAGCTCGACGAAGATTAGCTGCTGGTGTGCTCACGTTGTCCTGGGATTCACCGTCTGTAATCACCACCGCCACCTGCTGGACACCCTTTGCTTTCCTGCTTCCTCGCTGCGGGATAAAAACCTTCTGCAGGGCGTAAGTCAGGGCGACTCCAGTGTTTGTACCACCTCCATGATACGGCAGGATTTTGATGAACTTCAGCAGTTCGTCCTTGTCATTGAAGGAGTCGAGGTAAACCTGAGCTTTGGCTACAGTGTTATACATCACGATGCCCACTCGGACTCTAGATGTACTGACATTCAGGCCGCTCACAATGGAGTGCAGGAAAGTGCGCACCAGCTGGAAGTTGGGAGTCCCGATGCTTCCAGACTCATCAACGATGAACACGATGTCTGCCACTTTGGCGGCTTTGCAATCTGTGAAAGGAGTGTATTATTATAAAATCATTGTTACAAATTCACCTGTGAGCTGCGCAGTCATTCAGATACATTTTGAGATGGACAGACTGAGATAAGGTATATTCATTACTTAAAACAATCCAATATGCTATTTTGTAAACAATTTCTTGCTGACAGACGAGTGCACTTGTACCTCACATAGGTCGCGTTCAGACCAACTTTGGTCCTACATGAAGAACCACAGCCCCCTTACTTCATTTAAATGAGGCCTGTCCAACAACTCAGTGCGGTGAAACACAGACAGCTCCAGCTAAATAAATAAATAACATAACATAAATAAAATAAAATAAAATACTGGGAGTCCGAGTACAAAGTCAAACCTGGCTTAGACGTACTGAGTAACACCTATGGCCCGGTCAGATGTTAATATCAAACTTTAAGAATGCACAAGTGAAGTGGACCATAAGGTCCTGTCTACATATGTATACAGACATTTTTGAAAACAGATCTTTTCCTCTATGTTCTAAACAAAGATTGTACGGACAGAATTCTTTTTTAAAAAGTCGAAAAATATTTGTCGTCAAAAATGTCTGTATATGTGCAGACAGGGCCTAAAAGGGGAGTGTAGATTTAATGGACATGGACTGTATATAAATATGAACGACACATCTCCACATACTTCCAATGTACAAAAATGATCAAATTCAAGCTGAAACACCAATCCGACCAATCGCGTGCAGTGCCTCTGATCACAAGCACACCGATAGGCACACACAGCTGGTAATCACGACATCACGCCTCCTTTTTATAACATCAATTAACTAATTAAAAATGAGGTATTAGAAAAATGAACACTTGAACTCACACCAACGTGATGAGAACTGTCTAATATGACAGAAATCATCTTTGGGAAAAATTAATTTGAGTTTGCACCAGTTTGCACAGCAATTCGTACGGTTTTGCCATATTTTAAATTCTTCGTCGACTCCCAGGGTCTTGAACTATGCTACACTGCCTCCACAATCTCTGATTCTACTGCTCCGTTTAGTCCTTATCCGTGAGCTTTTTAAAAAATGTTCACATAAACAGATGAAATGAACACAGAGTACGGACAGAAGGCTCTATTCGTCTCCATCTCCGAATCTAATGTTGAGTATGAACCCTTAGATCTCAGGCACATGATAGACCTCCACTGGTCAGGTCATTAAATTGGTTTACTTGTCTGTCAGTAAGAAACATATCAGGGACTGCAGTCAATGGTAAAATTCAGAAAGGACGTAAACAGTTTTAAAATACAGTCTCAAAGGTGTCCTGAAGTCATTAATTAGTAATAAAAACAATAGTTTAATTGAAAAGATTTTTTACCTCCAGTAAGAGAGGGCTTTACTTCCTGTGTTTCAAAAATAGCCTTCAGTGCGGGTGCAGTGATGGTAGTCTGGTAAATGTACGGTGCAGTGGCTATGAGACGCATTTCATTCATCGATGCACCAAGGCTCATCCCCACCACGATTACTCCTGATGATTTGATCAGACGTGACTCCTTATACACCTCATCATCTGAGTCTTTTCCACTTATAACAACCAGGTACTGTCGGTAGCCTTGGTCCGCCCGGCTTCCTGATGCACTGGTAAAAAAGTGAGTGGCAGTGTGATGCAATGCGCTGCCCAGATTATGTGTCTCGTTAGGTTGCAGTCTTCGCTGGCGTAAACGCCTCACAGCGTTCACGGTCTCCTCTTTGGTTTGGTAAGCATTAAGAAGAGATTGCTCCTTGATATCTCGACCGTACTGAGCCCAGCCGAGACGGTAGGCGGACGCTCCAATGTTTAGTTGATTGGCAAGTCTACTGAGGATGGACTTGATCTGCTGGAACTCTGCTGGAGTCACGCCACTGTCCACCAGGAAGAAGATGTCCGCAAACTTTTCCTCCAAGGCTTAAAGAAAACAAACCAACAGGAACAGTAAGAAGATCTGAAGTTATGGTAGACCACGATTACAGATGATATAAGTCTCTCAATTATAAAGCAGAAAATATAAATCAGATTGCATCTCACCTACAAATTACAAGTTACTGATCCATAACATTTAAGTTAGAATTAGGAGATATTCACTTTAACTCTTCACACTACGAGAGTATTCTTTAGTATGTTGGCAGGAGTGCACTTCCATATTCATTAGTAGATGAATTATCCTTCTTTCTTTTTACAGTTTGCAAAGGCTACTACATTTTCTGGACAGCAAAGTGCTCCAGATTATGGTTGATTCAGTATAGAAAAAACAAGCACTATGCTAAAAGTAATCAGTAGTCTTTATCAGGGTGTCTATTTTAACGGCTAATGAATTATTTCTGTAGAAAAGTTCCCACACTAAAGTTGTATAACCACAAGTTCAATACAGTTTGTCCCAAAACAACTTCTGTCTCTCAATGTTGCGTTTTTTGGCCGACACTGCTTCATTAGCGGTTGACCTCAAACTGGAACCAGAGCGTGTTACATTAATCACTGCAGAGCCTTCATGTGTTGTGTCTGGAGGCTCCAAGCATTTGAATGGTTATGTGGAAAGAGATATGCTGTCAAGGAAAAAGAACATTTATTTTAAAATACTGCATAATGTCAGTTCCTGAGAGTCTGAGATCCACTAAATCTGGGTCCTCTCGAGGTAACACGGGGCCAGTTACTGGATTTTACACAGACAGGTCAGTTATGTGGAGTACTATTAGTTCTTATAGATTGTCAAGTCTGAAAATATTACTCCTGATGATGTTAAAAGTGATGTCATCAGAGTTATCTCAGCTTGGGCTTAAGGACAAAACATTAGGGCCTTTCCCAAACCAGATCCTTCCCACCCCCACTTCGTCACGCTTGAAGTCTACTTCAGAAGCCCCCTTCATTAAGGAGTAAGGTATAAATACAGCAGCAAGTTTTGTATGATATATAACTTTCTAATCCTTGGCCTTACCTTGCCTCTGATCTTCCACGGAGACACAAACAGTCTGCAGCAGATTTTTGGTCAGCGTCTGCAGAGCCTGGTAGCTATCGATAGATAACAGGAAGCGTTCTGGAGGCCGGTTTGCAATGGACCCGAGCTCCTGCATGTTGGCTCTTCCCACCCCGATGCCAAACACAATGACTCCGTGCTGCCTCAAGCGCTGGGCGGGCTGTACCACATCGTCTGTGGAGTCCCCATCTGTGATGACCACAGCAATCTGAGGTACCCGTTCCCTGGCTCGGCTCCCTGCGTCCTCTGTGAAGTACTGCGTCCGGATGAATTCGATGGCCTCGCCGGTTTCTGTGCCCCCTGTTCGGTAGGGGAATGTATCCACCGCAGCCAGCAGGGATTGCTTATCCATGTGATCTTTCAGCAGGAACTCCTGGTAAGATTCATCACTGTACTGAGCCAAGCCGACTCGAACTTTGTCAGGGCCGATGTCAAGACCTGTGATGACGCTCCGGAGAAACTGACGGATCTCCTGAAAGTTACTGATGCCGATACTGGAAGAGCCATCGATCAGGAAGACGATGTCGGCCCTGGAGGCTTTGGCACACTCTGGACAGGAGGGAGAAAAGAGTCAGCATTTGGAGTAACAAGGTAAGGAACATTTAATGTCTGTGTGTGTGTGTGTGTGTGTGTGTGTGTGTGTGTGTGGTTATATTCTGTGGTCTTACTGTAATTTTGTCCACCATCTCTAAATTCTCGAGGCTCAACAAAACAGTTCACAAAGCTTTTAGGTCAAGGTGATTTTCTGACACTCAGATGACACCAAAGTGAATTCTGTTGGATATTTAAAAATCTAAAAAAAAAAAAAACAAAAAAAAACAAACCTACTTTCGGCATAATAATAATACTTGACTCAATCATTGCTTAGATACCAGTAATACTTTAGTAAGATCACTGAAACACCACAAGCTGTGTGGTATGACACATTTTACCTTGAGACAATTGCAGCAGTTGTCGTTTGACTTCTTCAACAGTTGTGCAAAGCGTCTGCACGATGCTCTGCGAAATTCCCTGCAGCGCTGCAAAATCAGACACGCTGTAGACGTGCTGACTATGTGGCTCATTGGCTATCTCCTTCAGCTGTTCCTCATCTGCATCTTTGATACCAATCGCATACAAAACAATTCCTTTCCGCTTCAGATTCTGGGCGTGGGACTCCACGTTGTCTTGTGATTTTCCATCAGTGATCACCACAGCGATCTGCGGTACTTTCTGGCCCCGGCTTCCAGCTGCCTCCACAAAGTGCTCATTCAGCATAAAGTCCAAGCCTTGCCCCGTCTGGGTGCCACCACCCAGGTAGGGCAAGGTGTTGATGTACTCGAGGATGTCTTCCTTGTTCTGATAGGTGTTGAGCAGGAACTCGGTGCGTGGAGCGGTGCTGTATTGGACCAGCCCGATGCGGACGTGGTCAGGCCCGACGTCGAAGCTGTTGATCAGCGTATACAGAAACTGACGGATCTGCTGGAAGTTCTTGGTGCCGATGCTCCACGACCCGTCAACCATGAAGACGATGTCTGCCACAGCCTCTTGAGTACAGACTGAGAAGGAAGGTTGTCAGATCATGGAGAGTTCTTGCAGATAAGAAGTCACAGCGTGCTGCTGCCAGAAAAGCTCTTACAACCCGAGTATTTAGTGGGTCTTAGAAAGCGTGCCAGCCAGAGGTGGAAAAAGTGTCAGCGTGATTTGCAGATAGAAACGGTGGGTAGCTTGTGATGTGTGCAAGCCAGAGGAAAAAACACGAGCAGCCTGTTGTGGACAGTTTCTGGACAGGAGCATTGATCTAGTCTAGAAGCACTCACCTTCAGGTGGACTGTTGGATGAAAGAGTGTGAGGGAGTGAAACAAGGTTGCGTGGCGTACAGCCGGCATTTATTTCCTTCAGACTGTGTTGATGGTGCAAACAGAAGGTCGACAAAGTGCTGATCCAACCTGCCTCTGCTTTAACTTCTCCATCTCACTACAGACTTTCATACCTTACAGTCATGTGCTTGGCTGCATAAAACATTTTCAGTATTTTCCTTACCCTTCATATTTTAGATTATTCCTCGAAACAACTCGAAGAGACTGACTCTGGTCATGCTGGAAGGAAATACTATCTGACTTTCATGCCAGCGAACAGAATTTGTTTCCCATCTCAGACCTGCAATAAATGTCCTTAAAGGGAAACTCTGGTATTTTATGACCTGGACTCAATTTTCTCATGTTTTGTGTCTTAGTGACTCATGGGAACAACAACTTTTCCAATCAGAGTGAGAGCACTGCAGCTGGCAGCAGCAAAACAGGCTGTAATGTACCCACTCAGGGCATGTTTGCACCGTCAGCGTACGTCCACTGGAGGTGGTTGTTTTTGCCACTGACAGGCTCAGGTTGTTATTATGAGTGTCTGACAGCACTACCGAAATGACTCTGCAGAGAAATTAATCATTTCTCTGTACTTTTCACTTTACCAGTCCGTTTTGTGTCCAAGTGTCACTAAAGGAGAACTCTCTTTCTCGCTGACTTTTTCACATTGTCAAAATCAACTAACTACTTAGCCAGGACACTGAATTTTTTGTTTTTGGGATAAGTTGAGATAAGACTAAGATACACTTTTTGTACTTCAACAACACAAACTCTTCCGGGCACTTGTCTCTCCAACTCACACTCCCGTTTCGAGCGCTGCTGCTACAGGCACGCACATCACGAGCTGTCCGTAGGGCACCATCAAAACAGCCCAATATTATCATCATCGATCATAATCACAGGTATTACATTAACTCGATCAGTTAAGGCCCTTTTTGGACACAAAGTGGTTTACGCTGGGACGCCTCTGAGTTCACTGGAAACAGCACAGCTGCAGAGCAAGCAGAGTGGTGCGCTTGCGCTTATAGGTTTATATTAGAGTTATCAATTTATTAATACAGTCAGGTGCCTCTGCTGAGGCAATGATGGGACAGGAACATCTAAGTCAGTGGTTCCCAACTGGTGGGTCGTGGTCCAAAAGTGACTTGCAAATGTGTCAAGTCTGTAAAAAACAATTTTATTTTTAAGTACAGTGAACTTCAGGGACAGAGCTCTTATGTTGAAGTGCGGTTTCCTGCTGTGGAGTGAGTGACTTACGGACAGCTACTTGACAGAGGCAGCAAACTGGTTTGACGATACGGCCAAACACAAGTATGACGCTGAATGTATCAAACCATATGGACCTTGAACTAATGACTACGGAGAAATCTGGACGTGGTCTTGCTTTCATCAGCATCAGAGCAGAAGTCATGCAGCTGTCATATAATTACCTCATGAACAACCTTGGAGCCAGGAAATACAGACCTGTGTGCCACAGCGTCCCGCCACTGCTGAGAAAAGCCTATTCTATATATGTATATATACTGTCTTTGCAAAGACTCTTCTGTCATGTGTGACTAATTGGACAATCATGCTTTCTTACTATTTATTTAGATTTATTTCCATAATAATGGTGACACTGATATTGAAAATATCAATCTTCAGTTAACTGTGTTGAAAAAGACTGCACACACACACGTGCATTGGGGGAACACAATAAAGCAATTGTGCTTAGTGTACCTAAATGCACCAGGGTACCTGCACATTTCCAACATTTTCTCCTTGTAGCAAATCATCTCTTCTGAGATTTTACAATGAGACCCTTTCTTCATTGAAACTTGGACACAAAACAGACCCGAACAAGCAACAGGTATGGAAACATTTTTAAATATCTCTGCGGGGTCATTTCCAGTGATGTTGTCAGATAGTCACTGTAACAATCTGAACCTGTCAGTACAAAAACAGCACTTTAAGTGGACATAAATTGGTCTGTTTTGCTGCTGCCAGCTGCAGCGCACACTCAATACTGGAACAATTTGAAAAACTATTGTTCCCACCAGTCACTTTGACACAAAAACATGAAATAATAGAGTCCAGGTTGTAAAATACCAGAGTCTCCCTTTACCCAAGTATTTTAATTTCCTCGCTTTAACTTTAATTTGTTTGCTAAATTGCCTCTTCTCCCAGCCGTCCTGTGGGCAGATGTTTTGGAAAAAGTTCTTCAAAAAATGTTGAAAATAATCCAGATTTTTTGCAGAGTCATCAAATATCACCATTGTGTCTGGCAGAGGGGTTGAAAAATACATTTTCTGTATGTTTCATGCAGCTCAGCACTGGTGATCAAAGCAAGATGACTGTGTGCTGTTGTGAACCAGTTAATGCATCACTATCATGTGCTCAGCAGAAAACACACTCTTGTGCAGGGTTAGTAACAGTGCTCTTATAATAAAAATGAAATGAAATGAAATCTCTGTAGGGTCCTCTATGTGTGTGTGTTGGCATGTGCAGTATCTGTGTGCTTGTGTGTGTACTTTCTGTATATTCACACACTATAAATTGGTTTCACAGATGTTATAGGATGATGTAATGTTATAGAAGGGGCACATTCGCCATGATCCTTTCTGTGCTGGTATACAGGAAGTTAAGTCATACCTGCATAATCATACCCACCTGTCCTCTGAGCAGCGCTGCCGTAGAAACACACTGCCATGACGAGGCTGAGGAGAAGACCCAGTCTCCCCCCCATGCTGGAATGAATCTCGGGTTTCTCTCTTCCTGTAACACAAGGACAAAGACGACCATAAATGCAGACAATCTGTTTCTCATCATTCGCAGCAGGGAGCATGTTTGTTCCAGAAAATCATGTTACAGTGTACTGCACACATTTACAGACATGAAGACAGGCCACGCCCACTCTCCGTTTCTTTAGAACTTTAGGGTTTACTCTAAGCGGTGGTGTCGTGGGCTGCACATCAAACACATTTTGGGAAATCATGCATGAAAAGAGGAATCTACTAAAACCTTTAACGTGTCTGTGAAGTATTAGCCAGACATTAGCATGCCTGGCTAATAGTGAAACACCACAGCAATTTGGTGGGGGAAGACTTACTGAGATAAACTATCAACTAACAATGCAGAAAATACTCCATTACTATTGAAAGTGTGCAAAATGTACCTACATTTTTTCACCTTTTGGAATAGAAAATAAAAAACTTAAGGTAAACACCTGATCATGAAACATCATCACACAATCTTTACAACACTATAAAACAGCAATCCCTTCAGTGATCCTTAATAAACACCTAATCTAAATTTGTAATGAGAGCCAGAGATCCCTTAATTTGTCTGTTAATTTAAGGAGGACGCTTTGCTCCAGGAAATCATGTTACAGTGTACTGCACACAGTTACAGGCACGAAGACAGGACATGCCATTCTGCGTTTCTTTACAACTTTTGGGTTTTCCTGAGGATAAAACCCCTCTAAGCTGTGGTGTCGTGGGCTGCACAACAAACGGTCTGCACATTTTGGGAAATCGTGCGTAAAAAGAGGAATCTACTAAAACCTTTAATGTGTGTGCCAAAGCATTAGCCTGACATTAGCATGCCTGGCTAATAGTGAAACACCACAGCATTGAGTTGTGGAGGAATTACTGACATAATATATCACACAATATAGAAAAAGTGTGCAAAATATACCTACATTTTTTTAACCTATTAGTATAAACCATAAAAAAAACTTAAGGTAATAATAAATAAGAGTAATACATTTTATTTACAGAGCGTTTTTATAGTACTAAAAGACACTTAAAGGATAACTTCGGTATTTTTCAACCTGGGCTCTATTTCCCCATGTGTATGTGTGCGTATGATTCATAGGTACAACTCGTTTTAAAATTTGTTCAGTATTGAGGGAGTTGGATGCAGCCGGGAGACACAAAAAAAGCTAAAACGGTAACAGGGGCAAATGCGTCCCGTATAAGTTTGCGCATTAAAAGTGCTTTTTTTCGCCACTGACCGGTTCAGATCGGCAGTGTTATCTCTGTAAATAGCATACCAAGCGTTTCCCTGACCCTTCACCTCCTCCTGGCTGTGACGTCATCTTGCGAGAGCTTTGCTTGTTGCCGGAAGAAAACAGAGGAGCCATGCTGAGCACCGCACAGAGTGGCGCTGGTTGTCCCGGAGTACAGTTGAGAGTTTTACTGCATCGGTATCATGGCTGCATATTTACCCGATTTCGAGAATGATGATGAGCCCTTTTATTATGATGGCCGCCCGTACTTATTTGGCCCGAGTATATGGACAAGGAGCTCCTACAAACTGAAGAGCAGACGAGGATAGAGAGAGAGGGCCAACGAGCAGACGAGGGTGAAGCAGCGGCTGCACGAACGCGAATCTCTGAGGACTGGTGGTGCTCCTTGCTGTGACTCCATGCCCACAGAGGAAGAATGTCTGTGTTGCAACGAGTGGGACCTGCTGCCCAGTATTCATGGTCTCGATGTGTCCTGGGATGATACAAAAACTACCAACACTGTGTAACTACGTTAGAGGATTTCCCCCCTCTGATCAACAGGGCAGTGCTGGATACCTTTTTTCATGTGCCCAAAATAAATTGGAGGAGGCGGCCAAAACCACAGGGACCAAATGGTCAACTATCCATCAAGTAAGTATAACTAATATGTCTTTATGCATGTTATACTGATACCTAGAATTGTCTCCGAGACACACATTTACTGTTGCATACTTTGCCCTCGTATATATCGTACCCTGTTTTCTTCCAGCAACAAGCAAAGCTCTTGCAAGATGACGTCACGGCCGGGAAGAGGTGAAGGGTCAGGGAAACGTTTAGTATGCTATTTACAGAGATAGCGCTGGTGATCTGAACCGGTCAGTGGCGAAAAAAAGCACTTTTAATGCGCAAACTTAAACGGGACGCATTTGCCACCATTTCTACCTCGCGGCTGCCGGCTCCCTCAATACTGGACCAATTTTAGAACGAGTTGTACCCATGAATCATACACACACATACACATGGGGAAATAGGGCCCAGGTTGAAAAATACCGAAGTTGTCCTTTAACATAAAATATAATACAGTGAAACACACGGGACATCATTCACACATTAAAAGAAGTTTTGAAAAGATGAGTTTTGATGAGTGATTTGAACTCAGAGAGGTCGGAGCAGTCTCAGTGTGTTTAAGGAGAGAGTTCAAGAGAGAGGGGGCGGCTATGGAGAAGGCTCTGTTGCCCCAGGTCTGGTGCTTGGTCCTGAGTGGTGGAGTCAGGAGATTTACATCAGAGGAGTAGGGGAAGGCAATATGGCCCTAAAATAATATCACGATATTTCAGTGAGGAGAGGGACCTCAATTGGATTTGTTGTGGGACAGGGAGCCAGTGGAGGTTCTGGAGGACAGGGGTGATGTGATCGCGGGCAGCAGAGTTCTGGATATATTAGAAATTATTTAGGCGTTGTGCATGTGTGGGGAGGAATGCAGGTAAACATCTAATTAACAAACTTCATCAAACGATCTTATAACACTATAAAACAGCAATCCTTAATAAACACCTGTAATGAGAGCCAGAGATCCCTTAATTTGTCTATTAATTCAAGGCAGACACGTTTGTTGCAGCGAATCATGTTACAGTGTACTGCACACATTTACATGTATGAGAACAGGCCACGCCCACTGTGACCCCACATTACCTCAGAGCTTTAGGCTTCTCCTGAGAACAAAAACATCTCCAAGCTGTAATTTGGTGTGTTGCCCAACAAACAAGTTGCACATGATGGGAAATGCCCCATTAAGAGAAGAACTGATTAAAACCTTCAATGTGTGTGCCAGAGAACATTTGACTTTACAGTGGACTCATCTGACCTGGGAACAATCTCAGAACACTTTAACACAAAGTGACTCTTTTAAAGGTGTTTCATGACAACCTGAGCTGCCAAACACTTAATCAAGGTGTTTAGTAAGGCGGCTAGAGATCCCTTTGTCTATCTATTAATGTGAAGGTCAAAAGCTAAACCCCCGAAAAACACCTTAATTTCATGATTCATGAATAAAAAATACAGAGGATTAAAAGGGGCGCATTACTTTTCCCTTAAGCTACACAATAAATTGATTTTTACTGATAAATCCATTAATGATCAATTAAGGGTGCTTTAAGTTTAAAACTTTGGTAAATGTTAGAAATATTCTCAGATGCATTATCAGGTATTTAACAGCTTTATTCCAGATATGAGGTAAATGAATTCATTAGAGATGGACTGACTGCAATTTTCTTGGCCAATTCCAATTTCCCAAATATTCTAAAACTTTTTTTAATTTTCCGTAATCCTGTTTAGGGTCATGGGGGGGCTGGAGCCTATCCCAGCTGACACTGGGTGAGAGGCAGGGTTCACTCTGGACAGGTCACCAGACTATCACAGGGCTGACACATAGAGACAGACAACCATTCACACTCACATTCACACCTACGGACAATTTAGAGTCACCAATTAACCTGCATGTCTTTGGACTGTGGGAGGAAGCTGGAGCACCTGGAGGAAACCCACGCTGACACAGGCAGAACATGCAAACTCCACACAGAGGGGCTCCCACTCCCCAGGATTCAAAGTCCTCACACCTGGTTCGAAACAGGACCCCTCTTGCTGTGAGGCGACAATGCTAACCACTGCTCCACCGTGCCGCCTACTCAAGTAATGTAACCAGTTTATTTTCCTCTCAGTCACTAGTGTTACAGTGTTTTGCTGTCAGTGAATAAACCACTGAATCTATCAAATAAACCCTATTTAGTCAGAAAACTAACTAGATTAACTAGCAAACCAGGTTTGACCACCCAAATCTGTTTTTAGAGTATGGCGCTAATCGTTTGAGCAGCTGGGAGTTCGGTGCGTTTCTCAAGGGTACCTTGGCAGTGCCCAGGGGCAGACTAGCACCTCTCCAGCTACCAGTCCCATCATTGTTTTTATGGGGCTTTAATGGGTTTTCTGCATCAACTAAGAGGCTTTTAGTTAGTAAAAAAACCCTTATTACTTACAAAAAAAATTGTCTCAGATACCCCTTAATTTGTGCCTTAGAGGATCAAAATTCAAAGGTTCACCCTTTATTTAATATATATATCTACCAAGGGATTTACAGATTAAAAGCCTCTTGGAAAGTGTCATATATTATGAAACCCATCCCTGAACTTTCACTTTAACTGGTAAGGTAACTCAAGGATGGGTTTAATTTTTGATCCATTTTGAAATTAAAATGAATTACCCCCTCCTCCCTTCCAGCTGCAGTCAGACCCTTCCCAGTGATTTCGACAGTTGACAGTCATGATCTGGCAGCCTGGTGACATTTGAGGGGTTAAGTGTGTGTAAAAGGGCGTTTTCTGCAAAATCTGTGTAATTATCAATAATTACGTCTCCATGCACGCTGCCATGAACCCATCTCCTCTAAGTGACATTAGACCATAACTGCAGCACCGGGATTACACTGAATAAATCATTAGTGAACACTGCAAAGTCGGAGTCTGTATCACAGCACAGAAAATAAATGTTTGCAGATGAACCTCATCACTGCACTGTGTGTGTGTGACCCTGTGTCAGTGTCCACTGTGTGTGTGTCACCGACAGAAGAGGAAAATTAAACAAATTAGGAATTACTGGGGGAGAAAGCAGAGGAGGGAGTCATCACCAGGGGTAAGGGGGGTTGGGTGAATAATAGCAATAATATGAATATTAATACCACTTTATGTCTCAAATCAAAATGCTTTACAAAAACAAGTGA